CCATAATCATAATAAATAATAATAATCGTCCGGGCACCTGCATCATTATTGTTATCGAGGTGTTGCGCTGCATGCATGCTGCATGGCGCTCCTCGCGAAGCGCGGTCCGCGGATAGGACAGTCTGTCCGTCTCCGTCGCTCCCGTCGGGCGCGGCTGGGCGCGGCGCGGCGTGGGAGAGGCACCGTCCTTGTCCCTCGCCCTCGCCGCCGACCCGGACGCAGCCCGCGGCCGCGACACAGCCCATCCATCAGGGAAAGTTAATTTTCGTATTCCTCAACACGGCCATTACGCGGCGCGGCCAGGGCGGCCAGGGCGGCCAGGGCGTCGAGCGCTGCCAACTGTCGCGACGTCCGGGGCCGCCGGGGCCGCCCTGTGCCCCTGGAGCCCGGGGCCTGGAGCCTGGAGCTCATCATGCAGGCCGCGCGGACAGCCTTGCCCATTCCAGTGTGCAAATCGCGGCGCGGGCCGCAGTGCGCCGCACACCCTTCACTTCGCCGCCTTGGCCACGGACCGCGGACGGCAGGGCGGGACTAGGACGGGACGGGGCGAGGAGGGATCAACAACTCCCCACACTCAATGTAATGTAAGGACACAAAATCTCATGTGGGCAACCACCATGTGCGCGCGTGTGTGGCAAAGCATGAGTCTTGCACAATCCGCACCGTTCTCACAAAGATTGCACAAGAAATTGTACAGTGGGTCGCGGTGGCTCACCTCCCGGGACGGGGCCGACGAGACGAAAGCGATTGGTGCGGCGATTGACAGGACTGCAGAGCTGCGAGAACGGCAGGGCAAAGAGCGAAAACGAGGAACACGGAAACGGCAAACAGCATCGTGTGGTGGATCTCCATCCCCTTCCATTCCCACCGCGAGAGGGCACCGCCCTGGCACCGCCCTGGCACCGCCCGCCGCCATCTTGCAATCCATCGGCCCGGCCAACCCGGGTTATTGGGTTATTTATTGTGACGGCGATCGCGCCACTTGGAGTCGAGTCGGGCCTTCGCACTCGCGGCCCGCTGCACCAGCTGCACCCACGGCCAGCGAGGCGGCGAGGCGCGGGGCAATCAGCGTCAGTGCAGCGCCGCAGCGCCGCGCGGTAAACGTGAACGCTCTCGCCAAAAGCGCCATCGCGATGCCGGGCTCAAAACGTGCGCTGTTATTTGGAAGAGCGCAGCGGTGGGAATCTGTTTGAGGCGGCCGGCCGCGCGGAGGCGAGGTGGGCAAGGCGCGGTAGGCACGGCGTGTCTTGGTGTGTGTAGTGCATGCGAGGCGCGCCCATGGCCCAGGGAAGGCCCAGGGAAGGCCCCGCTTTGATTTACGGCTTGATCTGGTTTCACGCGCTGCGTCCCACGCGGCTCTCTCCTCTCTCTCTGTCTCTCTGTCTCTCTCTCTGTCTCTCTCTCCCTCTGCGAGGCTGCGCTCAACTACCGTGTGTGACAAGGAGGGTGCGATGCTTAGCGCCGGGGTCGCGCGGCGGGTCCACGTCGACGGCGAGGACGAGCTACCCTGCCGTGTGCACGACCGTGCCCTCCAGCAGACTGATTCGAGAGCCTTTCGTCGCTGTCTCTCTCGCACTCATAGTATCCAGCGGGGCCCGCAGTCCGGAGCGTCGAAACGGACATCCGCGGCGTGGGCAGGTTCCTGGCTGGGATTTTTTTTTGTTTTCAGCGGTGCACCTTGTAAGTGTTATTGCTGCTCGCGGGGCGGTCGCGGGGGCTGGGGGGCCGCGCCGGCCGCACGCAAGGTGGCCGCGTGGCCCAGAGAGGATAAATCATTTCCCGCTCGCCCCGGATGTCCTGGAGGGGCGAAGCAAGCGAGGTGTGATGACCACTGTCCTGACGCCTCGCCCCCTCGACCCTCGGCCACCGCAGTGTAAAAACAATAAGCGGAGGGCAGCATAATTCTACTCTATAATCCCCGTTTGTTACGTCACGCCGCGCCGCCGCGCCGCCGCGCCGCCGCGCACGGCACCCCGAGTTTATGACGCGCCCACCCTCCGTCCGACCGGGCCGACCGACCGCCGACCGACCGGGCCGACGCCCCCCGCAGCTCCGCAGCTCGAACACTGCCCTCGTCGCGCTGTCTCCCTCGCACCCCTTGGTCGCGTCACGCGCCATGAGTGCGAGAGAGACGCGGAATGGAGCTGCTGTCCATGCCGTGTCCGCGGTACGGCGGCAGTGCAGCGGCAACAGACCGATCCCGCGAACAGCTTTGTCGCTACCGTCGCTGTCGTCGCTCCCTCGCCTACACGGGACGCCTCATGAGTGCGAGGGAGACAGAGTGACGAAAAGGACGCAGTGCAGGCCCGGCGCACTCGGACGCGGCTGGTCAGGGGGCCGGGCGGGCGGGCCGGCCGGTGCGCTCCTGGAGGCGATAGATATACGCTGTGGACAGACTGCATAATTGATTCCTGGCGGGAGAATATATATTGATATGGAATCTATGTGCTGGCCGCGCCGGGGCTGTCCCGCGGCGTGGGCCCGCGGCCCGGCCCGGCCGGAGGGGAGGGGGAAGGGGGACGTGGTAGGTAGGTACGATTTATGTGATTAAGAGATAGTCTAATGAATGCGGCGCTGGGAGTCACGCCGTGGGTGGCGGGCAGGCAGCGCAGGCAGGGGCGCCAACATTCGCACCCGACGCGCTCCGCTCCGCTCTGCTCTAGTCGCGCCAGTCCTGGCCAGTCCCTGCTCCTGCAGACTGCTTCCGAGAGGCGTCTGTCTCGCACTCGCGGGGCGGCCGGGGCGTCTCGTACTGGTGCGAGAGAGACATTGTCGTGGCGAAAGCGACTCTCGGAGTCAGTGTGCTGCTCGGGCTGCTCGGCGTCGTTAGGCTGCCGAGTGGCCTGGCCGAGTGCGGTGCAGTCACTGCAGTCACTGCACACGCTGCGCCTCGTGGCCTCATCGAATTATTGTTTGCCGATCTATAATTAGGCGGGGAGTGCCGCCGCGCCGTGACCCCTCGCACAGCAGACTGTGTCGCTGTCTCTCTCGCACTCGTGGAGCGTCTCGTACGGGTGCGAGAGAGACGCAGCCTCGCACGCCGGCCGGCCGGCCGTTATGCCCAACGCCGCTCGGCGCGTCCTGCCAATACAGCGCCGTGGTGCGAATAAGAGGCGCGCGAGGCGCACACGTACCGCCACTGCCGTCGTCGCTGTCTCGCTCGCACTCACGGGGCATCCCGTCATCGCGTCGGGGCGCGAGAAAGACAGAATGGCAGCTGCCAATAATAGCGGCCGCGGTGGTGCGCACGCAGGGCGGGCAGGGCGCACGCACACCGACGAACACCGACGCACGCGGCGATTGCAGACAACGCGGGGCTGATTAGGGCGCATTACGATGTACGACGTGCATTGCATTGCATGCACGAGGAAAGCTTGGAAGCAAATAAAAGGAGAGAGGCCGTGGACGTGTCTCGTCCCTCATTACCGGCGCCACCTTCGTGCTGCTTGGCCTGCTTGGCCTGCTTGGCCTCCGCGGGGCACTGCAGGGACCGCCTCGGCGAGCACCGGCACCTCCGCGTCGGCCCCGCACCCCTTCCTTCCCCTTTCCCTCGGATCCGGACGAAATGCACTTTTTCCCTGCTCGCCGCGTTTGGCTTCCACTTCCATTACCCAATAAATCAAAGTGAATGGCCCTCCGCGCTCCGCCCGTGATCCCGATCTAATGCGCAAAGACTGGGCCGGGCCGGCCAGGCGTGTTGGTGTGTTGGTGCAGCCCCGCCACTCTTCCCCAAAATCAATAATCACAATCTTTACAGGTAACTGAGACAGGCGTCCGCCCGTGAGCCCTGGGCCCTGGACAGCCCCGGGCCGTTGGCGCTGGACACTCTGGACAAGGGCCAGAGGCAGCAGCCAGAGGCATAGCAGCCAGAGAGGCAGCAGCCATAGAGGCAGCAACCAGGGGCCGTGACCGTTCGGCGAGGCGCGGCGAGCAGCGAGCCAGGGTTGGCCAGGGTGTGGTCCGTTCCGCTTCGCTTCGCCACGCGATTCGCGACGTCGGGGGCGCCTCGCCGCGGCGCCTTGTCCTTCCTCCCGCCAGTGACTTGCAGCGCCGTGACTTGCAGTGCATGCCCGTCATTGGGGCAAGAGATGACGATTCGAAACCCCGCGCCGCGTCTCCGGCTCGTGTCGGCGCGAGGGGGCCGCCGAGGACGTGGGGGGCGTGGAGGACGTAGCCGGCGTGTGGGACGTGGGGAGCATGGGGGGCGTGTAGACGTGGGGGTGATGGCGTGGACGACGTGGGGGTCGTGGGGGACGGTGGGGCGTGGGTTTCCGCCAAGTGCTCGACTCGACAGGCGGGGCGTCAGGGGGCGTGGCCGAGCGCGGAGGCCGCGGGGGGCAGGGGGGCGAAAGGGCGCGCGGAGTACGTGCGAGAGCTGCCAGTAGGGAGACTCGTGCAGTCGTTCAACTTGTTTCACGGTTGTTATTAAAATTAGTCCGGGAATTGATTATCTCCGTGTGGAGCTGGAGCGTCCTGTCCGATAATACAGACACTAATCATCCGACCGGCCGGCCGGGCAACGCTGGGCGGGCCTGGCTGCCGCTGGCTGCCCGGCCGGACCAGGACCAGGCAGTAGTACCACCGCCACCGCGCCGCGTAATTTCCCTCCAGTTTGGCCGAGATTCTTATCTTAGTGGGTTCGGATTCCACTTTTGGAAGAAAAAGAGGAAGAGGGGGGAGAGGGGCCGGAGCAGAAAGGAGGAAGCATCGGAACAGAGCGATATCGGGCTCAGATGTTGGGCTTTGAAAACGTGACGCAATTTTCCACCATTTCCCGTCAAGGCTTTGCACGGATTGCACTGCTTTGCACTGCTTTACTCATCCACAGGCCGGTTCCCTCTTTCCCTTCATCGCAGTGCACAGTCGCACAGCCACGGCCGGCACTCCGTTTACACGAGCGCCCGGTCGTTAGGCCACCCATCGTACTGCTCCGCCAGATGCAACCGGATGTGGAACAGTCCGGTGCCACGCTCGCGCCCTCATCTCTGCCGCGGGTTGGGCCGGCACTGCACAGTTGTGGAAGGCGCGTCACTTTGCAGGAGAGAGAGAGAAAGAGAGAGAGAGGGAGAGAGAAAGAAATCTCGTCCAGCGGCCAACACAACACAACAAGACAGACGGAACTTTTCGCGATGGTTTTATTAGATCAGGACGGTGTAAGTTATTCTGTCCCTGCTGGGCACTAGAATTACCCCACACCGTTGCCTTGACTTCAGTTTGGAACCGTCCAAAACTGTGCCGGGGCTTCACTGTAACGTCTTGAAAATTTGATCCGTCTGCTACAAGGATAACCTTTGAGGTTAACATGCGGCCCCGAATATTTCCCAAATTTTGTTTGTGCCTACGATTTCGTTCATTTGAACGTTGTTTCCATCACCTGCCTTTGTGTGTTTCAATTATGAAATCTTGAACTTTTTTAAAGTATTCCACGCAGTCTCAAAATTGCTGTTTCAAACCCATGCAGAGTGCCATTGTACATAAAAGGACAACATATTCATCAAATTTGTAAGAATAAATTAATGGTCAGCCTTGTCTTTTTTTCTTTGCAGTTCCTCAATGCGTTAACAAAGATGTTCCAGAAATCACGGTATTCAGGAACAGTCACACTCTGCTTTAAAAGATGTAAGACCATACCTACTGAAACTGGTCCTACTAACGATCAAAAACACATTTTTCTTTGTCTCTGATCATCTTTTCTTTTGCTTAGTTGATGGCCATGAACGCCCAAAGCCCAGGGAGGGAAAGAAGCCACTTCCAGAACCAGAAGAGTATTTATGTTTAATCCGAGCCAAGTGTGGCAGCAAAACAATTAGTACAGTGGTACGTCTATATTTTCATTTAAAATCGATGATTGTTTCTAGATATTTAGAGATGATTCAAGTTAACAGTTAAACTTTGCTGCTTACAGGTGCCTTCTAAAGATGTTAGTAAATTTCAAATGGCATATAGTACTTTGTTAAAAGGTAATCTGGATGGTCTCAAGAAAACAAAGAAAGTGAAGACAAAGTCCAAGGCAACCCAGTGACAAAAGTTTTCAGACATGAAAAATGTGGTACTGAAAATACATCTGATCTGTTATTTTCTACCATAACAGAGATTGTGCAGTGTGTCAATATTGTAACCATGATTGTAACTCATGTTTGTGAGATTGATTCACTGAAGACTTTTGGACAAATGTTGCTGCATATTTATCTTTCATCCAATTTGAACGCATCAGCTATGGATGACGGGCTGTGTTACTTGTTACTGTGAGCACTGTGATGAGTGTAAAGAGAGAGTGATTTTTTTGCACCCTACCCTAGGTGCACCTTTTGTCACCAATATTCTGTGACATTATATTCATGTTTGAAAGTGTGTGAGCATCAGTGTATGTTTTTAATTGTATCGCAGTGATGAACTGATTTCAATAAGGTATTGATAGGTGTAATGGATAAAGTTCAAGTTATCTTCTGATTCATGTTCTGATTTCACTGGAAAATGGAAATAAGTTTTGATGTTAATTGCATTGGTCTCCATATCTGGAACTGAAGATTGTTGGTCTCATTTTGAGTCTTGAATCACTTTAAGACATAAAAATTGTTTGAGATGTGCATTTTTCTATGGTTGATGGTTTGTATTTTTTTTTTTTCTTTTGTAAGGGGATTAAGGTGTCAAGCAGTCCAAAATAAGAGCATACTTTGTAGCACTGCAAGTATCAAGAATGCTGTTTCAGCATTGTGCGAAAATATCATGTTTTCTTTTGGGTTCTTGGTAATTAACTGTGGGCCGGGTATATGAGTACCTTTGGCCTCATACAAATGTTCAATGGAACATTCATTTTCTTCAGTAAAAGCACCACAGTTTTGGATTAATTTTTATTTCGAGTGAAAATCAAAAATAAATGTTAACATTGATTACTACCGAACAAAAGCTTCATTACTTTTAGTATGCCACCAATTACCAATAGTCTCGTTCATTCAACTCAGGTTATAAGTCACAAAATGGCAGGTGAAATTACAACAATGAATGGGGTTACAGGAAACAGGCTTAGTCAATAAATCACTAGACTGAACATCTACCTAAACTAGTTAGTCTCAAAAATGTTCTCCAAAAATATGTCTAACAAGCGTGGAAAGATGTGTCTACATACAGTATGTAACATTAAATTTAGTCAATAAATATATGCTCTACAAAAACCAACAGTATACTTTGTGCCAAAACGTCACATTAAGACAAAAGCAAATAATGCTTATCTTGCTTGATATCCATGTGCAAAAGTAAAGCATAACACCATAAAAGTGGTCCTGAACACAGTACTTTACTTTACCTCTATTGGTTGCAAAGCAAGGGTATAAAAAATATATATTTAGAATTGGAGTCAACAGTCTACCCATAAATATTAATTCTTTTCCAATTAGGCGAAATCTAATGGCTATATTAATTTAAATACTTGATTGATTACAAAGTTACTGTTGCTCAAAATAAAGGAGAAGACAGGGTACAGTAAGCAACAACAGAAAACTGGATGAAGCTTCAATGTGTTCCAGTATATATATCATTCTTAATTCAATGCCAACTTTTTAAGGAAAGCAGGGATCAAGGTTCTTTCTTTAAAAATCAAACAGCTGCTTTCTTGGGAGTAGCTTCATGTGTTTTTCTCAATCGTCGACGCAACTCTGCTGGATATTTTTCATAGCACTTCTTGCAAACTGGCTTCAGATCGCATTCATAGAACTTCGTCTTCTGGTTCATTTTTTGGTCACAAACGGAGCACGCAAAGTGATGTACGCACCAGGCTTTGTTAAGCGCAGTAAAAACTGAAAAAAAATAATTAAAATTCAAATAATATCATGGTATTTCACAACATACGTCAAACATAAAAATAAATAAACATAGCATTTTAATTACCATCTCCAGCAATGACCTGGTTACAAACAAAGCAAAGATTTCCAAACAGCTGATGGTAGTGAGTCTCACAGTATGCCAAGCCCTTCTTTTCATAATGGCGGTGTCCCAAAAATGGCTTTTCACATTTAGCGCAGACAAAATGCTATAATGCATAAAACATGTCAGTTAAGGTGGAATATTCTAATGTAGTCTCGACATAAATTGTTCATTTATACACACCTCCACATGCCAATGTTTTCCCAATGCAGTGACAACTCTCTCTTCAATGGGGCGGCGACATGCCCCACAAATGGGGATCCCCATCTTATCATGGCACCGAAGACAGTACAGCTCATTCTTAAACAAAAATCAATCAATCAATATCAATTCATTTAAAACTTTTAATACCTTTCAAGTCTTGATAAAATCCTTATGTTCATTACCATTTCGTTGGATGTAAATCCAGGTCTGCTCTTGACTTCCCTGGCATCAGAGTTCAGTTCAACTTTGCAAGAAGCACAGTTGAAGTGATAGGGGTGATACACCTCACCTCGGAACCGCAACGGTTTATCATCAATGACACCACTGCGGAGCAAGGTAATGCACAGTTAATAATATAAAATATATGTGAAACAGAAAAGATAAATTACTACTTACTGGCACTTGTGGCAAATATATTTGCCAAGGCCAACAGCTTTAGCCTGAGCATTGCATTCATGACAAAGTGCTCTACCCTGGTTGCGAATGAAACCCAAATCTGCCAATTCCTTGCTGCAATCTTCACAACGGAAGCAGCGAGGATGCCAATTGGCATTCATAGCCTTGATTACACGACCAATTACAAATTCACCTGTAGAGAAAAGTAGAGAATCAATTAAATACTATATGTATGTATAATGAGACAACAAATGGCACAGATATTACAAATCTTTGAGACATACCACATTTACCACAACATGGAGCAAAAAGCACATGGAAATCATGCTCACAGTACTTCCGCCCCTCAAATTCATAGAAGGTACCATCAGGGAAGGGACGAAAGCATTGAGCACACCTAGAATGAATGAGATAACAGAATGCAAAGTATTGAGTCAACATAAATTTTCCAAATGTTCCAGTTAAATAAAGGGCAATAAAGTGGGCTGCCTAAAAGCACCTTATAGGATAGACCGGGCTCATAATGCCAGCCAAATGTACCAATATGCTAACCCACCACAACTGGTTTATAAATGTGAGATAAGGAAGAAAATGGTAATACATACACAAAGCATTGTGTGTGCCACAATTCTCCATTTGAGTTCACAATTTTCTCATGAGGCTCAAAGCCATCCCCACAGCGGGAGCAAAACATGTTACCTAATGACATGTTTCCTGTTACCCTGAAAGAAGAAAAGGAGTTTTAGAAAGATTTGTCACACCACAAGAAACATGATTATAACATCAGTTATCTTGAAATGAAATAGACAAAAATTACCCAACAACATCATTGCTAGCATGCAAAGGGAGAGAAACAGAATTTTGCATTATGGCATTGGCATTTGAAGATGCAGCACGCGAAGATGGAGCAACATTCCTAGGAGGCAATCTATCGGGTTTAGATTGAGGTGAAGGTGTCCAGTTTGCAGAGGAGTTTGAGTACTGATCACTTGTCCAGTCATTCTCACTTAAATCTTCATAGTCTCCAGTGGTGGGGCTAAGGTCTAAGTCTTCACTTCTCTCATTCTGATCTAAATGTAGTACACGCCTTTGATATAGCTGGCTATGATCTAATGATTGCAGTGCCAGTGGTCTAACCGGGGTAGGAGGACCAGTATTATAATTATGATGCCACATTTTAACTAAATTTCACTTAGGAGTCTTGAAGAGTAACTTGCTCTTGGCTTGAGGGACGGCATTCCAACCAGTTCTATTCAGAAGGCAGTGGCCTGACTAAGGCAGGCAGCTGTGAGATTAGCTGACATGGCTCAGTCACAAAATGCTCCAGTCAGCAGTCTTATCTGGAGCAGCACGCCACACCAAGAATACGTCCACTCAAAAAAAATCCACTATCAACTTTATATTATTTAAAGAAAAAGAAAATGCTGTCAGAGGACAAAATTTATATTCCTTCTTTTTTCTTTTTGGCGTGTGAGTATGTGTGGTAGGTGTGTATGAACACCTTTATTCCTTATCTCAACTCCGCATACTGATAAGAACATCTACAGTTCCAACATGTGGTATTGATACTCCTTACTTGGTTCAGTGAAGAAGAGCACAAATCGAGCATTAACTAAGCTGAGAAGCAACTTAAGTTAACAGGAATTTTCATGTTTGAGTTTGTGTGAGTAAAACTTGACTCAATGCTGATATGCAAACTAGCTTTGAATACAATCGTACAATTATTGCAAGGATCATTTACAAGTTCTGTCATCATCAGAAACTTACCCAGGCATTTGAGAAGTCAAAGACTTGAAGAAATCTTGCGGTGGTGATTGCTGAAAAGAAATTAAATACAACATCAAGTAATTATCTAATCCACAAATATTGTTGCGGCACTCTTGGGCATTCTGCTTAATGTTGATAACAACTATCGATTAAAATGCTGCATTGCCAAGAAAGAGCAAACTAAATTCACTAAATCAGTACAATTTTGTACAAAAAAAAAATAATTAAAAAGACATTTAAGTTTGAGAAATTATTCATAGAAAAATGAAATTATAATTGCAATATTTGTACAATTTGAGAATTTTGTAGTCGTTCTAAATCAAGATTACGTACAACCGCCCTAAAACGTTTAGGGAGAATGGGTGAGAAAGTCGGCATGCAGGGACAGCAACAATATTAATTTTACCTCCTCTCAATAAAATGTAAAACAAGTTATGACCTTAGGTAATTTCAAGAAAAAAGTGAACCAGCGTCAAAATAAACCAAAGAATGCTATACAATATCCTTTTATCTTTCCGATATTACTAAGAATAGGTGAGTGGTCTAACCACACAATTTTAGCAGCTTTACTAAAAATATGATTTCAAACATTGGACTTCAGATATGGACACACATTAAGTTTTATCAAAGTCGAGGCAAAGGAGACCAACACAGACCCCTCCAAAATTGGTCTGGATGGCAATGACAGCTCCTTGTAATGCTGGGTTGGGCTGATTGGGCTCCAGTGTGTTCCTAGAGGAATTGAGGGAAGAGTCCTGTGACCCTTCACTCATTTCCATGGAAAATTAGTACACGAATACAGATATAACCACAAGTTCAGTATTACCTGACTCTTCCCGTCAGCAACTGTAAAGGCAATTGCAGCAGGCGGCCTCTCCCTTTCTCAGGAAACTACCCACACAGGCGAAAATAAACATGACCCCCTTGTGCCCAACTGCTCCCTGCCCACACACCACCACTACCCTACAAGGAGCGCAGTGAACTAATGTTTGAGTCCCTGAAGATGAAACACAGTTTGGCTCCTATTCGAAGGACAACATAGTGTTTGTTTGCGCCAAATAGAGCAAGGGTCAACCATTACATGTTTTTAAATTGGTCAAAGGACCATGTGTGACATGTGTAAGGAGGCGAGGGGAGTGGGGAGGGGAAGGGGAAGCGCTAGTGTGGGACACTCACGGATCGGGCAAATTACTTCCTGTCAGCAAACGAATCAGACGCGGGAACATTGAAAACGAGTCCTTGCCCGAACAGTTGTTTTTACCAAAGTACTTTATCTATCTGACCTTTGAAATTTGTTTGCGCTATGCAACATTCTGTCTAACTCGCGTATCCCGTATCCTACAGGTCCAAAATTTGGCATCAAAAAACGCTACAGGATCCTTAAAAAAAAAAAAAGAAACGCAAACTGGCAAGGCGGCAACACTGTTTCCGGGTCCAAGTTCCTTGATGTTCCGTTCCGCCGTTCCTTCGCTTCAAACAGTGTTCAACTGACGAGTCAAAATGGCGGAGGGACAGAGAACACGCCGTGTTTTGCCTAACGAAGACTTGTCAAATGTCGAATTTGAAACCAGCGAAGATGTCGAAGTCTTACCGGCGTTCGACTCTATGGACCTGCGAGAAGATCTCTTGCGAGGGATCTACGCTTACGGTACGTATTCCCAAGGTTGCCGTCGAAGCGTCCGACCGGCCGACAACAACTACATTGGGAAACTTCATGCCCTTTTCAGTGCCATGTATTCCCTAGTTACACCTTTCTAGAGAAAAGACTCTGTGACATTCCATCTTCCACTTGAGTACTTTTCGCTTGTCCTCACATTCATTATATGTCGTCCCATGGCAGGAGCGTATAGGTTAGGGTGATCGTCTCCGGTGGTTTGTGAATGAAATGTCAATCGTCAGTTTTTCTGTTGGGAGATCGAATACAATCTTTGTTTTGGTACACTTTTCAATTCAAACCTTGCAACCGATTCGCGTTGATTTTCTAATTGACAAGGTCCCATTGGTCTTAACTCTTCTGTAACTTTCACTTTAAGTAGTACGCCTATGTTAATTTACAAGGCTTCTGTTAGATTTAATTTATATCATGATTTTTTACTTTTATACATGTGCAGACAGTAAACCTATAGGTTTGTTTTATTTATTGAAACATAATTATTTTTCTCCTTATTTTCAGGCTTTGAAAAACCCTCCGCAATCCAACAGCGATCCATCAGACCCATTGTCAAAGGAAGGGATGTGATTGCCCAAGCCCAGTCTGGTACGGGTAAAACTGCTACATTCTCCATCTCAATCTTACAGAGCCTGGACATTTCTCTTCGAGAAGTTCAAGTTCTGTGTCTTTCACCAACTCGTGAATTGGCAGTTCAAATTCAGAAGGTTGAGTAAAATTGTTAATTACCATGGTCATATTTATCAGTGAAATGTCAACATCTTTTCTTTATCACATTTTGTTTTTCTTGGTTGTGTGGCAGGTTATTTTGGCACTTGGTGATTTCATGAATGTCCACTGCCATGCGTGCATTGGTGGTACTAACCTTGGTGAGGACATCAGGAAACTTGACTTTGGAGTACATGTGGTGTCAGGGACACCTGGAAGAGTATTTGGTGAGGCAGAGTAATTTTATGTACTGATTTTTACACTTAAGTCTTTTTTACCTCGTATTGATTGCGCTGTAACTTTGAATAGACATGATTCGGCGTCGGAGTCTTCGGACAAGATCAATCAAATTATTGGTTCTTGATGAAGCTGATGAAATGTTGAACAAAGGATTTAAAGAACAGATATATGATGTATATCGCTTTTTGCCTCCGGCAACCCAGGTAAGTTCATTACTTCAATTTATTAATGATTGTACTCCTATGTATTTCTTTGAGTGATTAATTTTTCCTTCCTGTCTTGCTAGGTTGTGTTGATATCTGCCACCCTACCCCATGAGATTTTGGAGATGACAAGCAAGTTCATGACTGACCCCATTCGCATCTTGGTCAAACGGTTAGTTTTATCCTTTATTGTAATTTGCATTGCTTATGTATGTGTACCTTTTAAAGGGTGCAAAGTGTGTGAGCAACCCCTTACCTGTGTGTCTATGTATTGCAGTGATGAATTGACACTGGAAGGTATTAAGCAGTTCTTTGTGGCTGTAGAGCGTGAGGAATGGAAGTTTGACACACTGTGTGATCTGTATGATACACTTACCATCACTCAGGCTGTTATTTTCTGCAACACCAAGAGGAAGGTAAGTAAACATTTGGTATGGTGAACTTCAATGCTGGTTCCCTCAAGTGACAAAATTTTAATGTAATTTCATTTTTGCTTCAAGGTGGATTGGCTTACAGAGAAAATGCGAGAGGCTAACTTCACTGTCAGTTCAATGCACGGCGACATGCCTCAGAAGGAACGAGATGTCATCATGAAAGAATTCCGTTCTGGCCAGAGGTAATGTGTGTTTGCTCAGTATAATAATTGTGAGCATTAAATTGTAATTTTATTTTAATATTTCTTAATTATTTTGCAGTCGGGTACTCATAACCACTGATGTCTGGGCTCGTGGTATTGATGTTCAACAAGTTTCACTTGTTATTAACTATGACCTACCCAACAATCGTGAATTGTACATCCACAGGTGAGTTTTGTTGTTTCGAGTGCATTTGCCTGACAATCCATTGCTGGACTATTACTTAATTACTTGTTCTTTTTTCTTTCAGAATTGGTCGATCAGGCCGATTTGGAAGGAAGGGTGTTGCCATCAACTTTGTGAAGAGTGATGATATCAGAATTCTGCGAGATATAGAACAGTATTATTCAACGCAGATTGATGAAATGCCGATGAATGGTGAGTCCAAATCAATATTTGATCTGTTTCTATTGTTTCTTGTCTGATTATCTAATTGATTTATTTTTTTGCAGTTGCTGATTTGATTTAATTTAGTCATATTTCCATAGACCATGTGGTGCATTTTTTTTTTCTCCTAATTTTTAAGCTTTGAGTGCAGATCAACTGTGTACATTTCTGTTTATTCCGTAAGCCATGAGGCTGTATACACCTATGTATTGAGTAAAGAACTTTTTTCACTGAGCTTTATTTGTGTGTGGACTCTTATTTCGCTCTAATTCTCATTTCAATTCTACTGTCAAAGGGTATGGTGGAGTTTCAGAGAACTAATGTCTCGTGTAAGAGTATTTATTTCTCAGAATGTGGTCAGCTTGTACAAAGGAGTTACCATAGTCAAAAGCTCAGGTGGTTTGTGTAAAAGTGTTTCTCATTTCTCTGCCTCCTTTTCCTACATGTTAGAGTTACAATCTCAGCTGTGGTTTTGCTAAGAAACCACAGCAATTAATGGCAGAATCACAGTATTTCTTATGTTAAAATGGGTTTAAAGATTTTCATGCATTCAGAGAGTTGCCTGTAAATAAATTTATGCAATGGACTTGAGGAGTTTATTCATTAATAAAAATGAGAATATTGTATCAAAGATCACTGTGTGGGTGCCTACCTAGATTCTACGTTCAGACCACACAAAATAAAATGCAGTGACTGCAAGCAAAAGCTAACTATTTAGCTAATTCTAGTTCTAGAGAACCCTGATCAATCCAACAGAAACGTTCAATGGCATCTACACTTGAAGGGTATAGGACCCTAATTTCTGTCTGATAGAATTACAATGTCCACTATTGAGCAAAAATTTTGTTTTGTACATGTGAAACTTATCATAAATTCTGAGTCATTTTAGCAATGGAGCCAAAGAAGGCCTCTCCCTTTCACCTAGTAATCTTAAGTTTAGCAAGTTGTGTGTGATCCTTGCAACATTTGTTTTCAAGAACTGTGATTTACCAGCCCGAGCATAGCTCTGAAGTCACAACAGATGTTGATGTTAAATGAATGAATCACAGTCAAGACACAGCAACCTAGCTGTGAGCAAACACGTTTCCCATGACATTAGTTTCTTAATTTTTGCTTATGTGGCAATTTTTTGCATGTATCTTAATGGAGCTTCACTCAATACTAATCCAGCTTTAAAAAAAGAAAGATACGTATTTGCATTTAAAAAAAATTATTGAATGAGTAAAGAGCCCTGAAAGCGCCAATGTCCTTTCAATATGCATTAAAATGCACACTGTGTATTTGGCGCTGCCAGGGAGCCTGCATCAAATATTCCCACTTTACTGAATTAGAATTATCCTAAAATGACAAGTAAAACAAACATTTGTCTCACTTTCTTCTTTCCCTCCTGTGCATTGATGCTTGTATTGAAGTCCATATGAATTGTGTAAGCTCTCCAGACAGTAATAAATCCAATTCTTGGCAGGACAGTAGAGAAATAAATAATAAGTAGCTTACATGATCAAAAACAAAAAAAAAATGATTAGTTTTTTTTTCAGTTTATGGAATAATGGACTTGAGCACCGCAAAGTGGGTATATGCAAGGTTTGGAGTGGTTACTTAAATTCTTGGTCTGGGAATCATATAAAACAAACAAAAAACGACATCGTCTTTCCCTAACAGTGGCATATCACAGACACCAGGCGGCGAGGTCTGTTGACCAGTGGTCAGTAACCTATCCGATTTCCAGATTTTGGGAGACAGTATTCACAGAATTTTTTTTTTTTTAACAAGAATGAAATGACCTTTTTTTTTGTTAGGAGAGAAGGACGCCGAAAAGCCTGAAAATCGGGAAGGTTACCGAACCCTGATCTGACCTCACTCTCTCGCGTACGGCCACTCTACCCTTCCCTATTAGTGACTCCACAACATTTACATCAAAACAGCATTAACCATAATGCGTACAAACACAAGAATTCAACACGTTAAAGTTTCAAGTGCCGAAACCGCGCCTTTTCCGCGGCGGGGCACTGAGAGGCCGGTTAGCCGCGGCTAGCCGACTACAACTCGGTCTGGCTCGTGGTGCCGAGGATCATGCCGGTCCAGGGGCTCCACGGCGGCCACGGCGGCCCGGCCGGCTTGCAGTCCACCGACGTGATCCACTCGAGGTCCTGCACGGTGGCGCAGTGCATCGAGTACACCGCGGCCACCGTCAGCACGTGCATGATGTTGTGCGAGTTGAGGCAGTAGTCCACCATGCCGGGGAAGTACTTCTCCGGGAAGTACACGGCCCCAACCACGCCCCCGACCAGCGACACTCCGTCCTGCGACAACAGTGAGTCCTCACCGTCACACATGTTTCACGTCACTGGTTGTGGCTGCTGAGTTTCGGCCACACAAGAATGATCCAAACGAGTGGGTGGTCGGCCATCCTGACCGCGGGCTTGGAAGCCTGTAGCGCCTGCGAGGTAGGCCACCGGCCCGTCCCGCACAACACCGGTGTGGAGACGGTGGCCTACCCTCGCGCCTGTGGAGGTGGCAGGGGCGACGTAGGCCGCCGTCTGCACCCCGGTGTGTCGCGGGACCGATAGGTGGCCTACCTCACAGGCGCTTCAGGCTTGGCGCGCTTTGTGGCGTGGCCACAAACAGCCCTGGGCGTTTGGTTCCGACTGAAGCCGCTCGGTGGCTGGCACTGCTGGCAGACCCACCTGCAGGATGAGGTGCAGCATGTTGTGCGGGCTGCCGCCGCCCAGGAAGGCGCGCAGCACGCACAGGAACAGGCGGCTGAGCCAGGGCAGCGCGAACGACAGGCGCCGGTCCCACGGCGACCACGCCGTCATCGCCTGGAATCGGGAATCCATACTCGATCAAAATGTCCATGTTCTTCCTCAACGCAGGCGAAGCAGGCGCCATGCGTTTGAATGCCAGCAGTACCTTGTACAAGCCGCACAGCGACAACAAGCAGTAGGAGCCGATGATGAGCCACCGCACGTTCCACGGCAAGCAGTACACTGTGGCCGTCACCATGGGCAGCGCCCCTGTGTGCGAGAAAAGAGAATTAGGAACGAGCCAGTGTGCTGGCATGCCCGTCTGCACTCCAGGAACAGAGGTTGCATGGAGGTTGTGAACAAACCAAGGGGGCAGGCAGCAGCCCGGACAACAGGCCACCAGGGAGCGCTGCTGCCGGTCCTTGCTCTGTCCGTGCGGGCATGCCGTGCAATCCCCGGTGGCGGCTTTGTCCACGAATTTCAGGCCAGGCAGGGACTGCAGGGACTGCTGCAGGCCGATTCAGCCGCGCAGCGTGGCCGGCGGCCGGCGGCCTGTCTCTCTCGCACTCATGGCCCGTCCTGTAAAGGTGCGAGAGAGACAGACCGACGGCCGCACGGCGCGGAGTCAGCCTGCAGGGACTGAAGGTCAAGGGCCACGGGCCGCGGGCGAGCGTGCTGCAGCCCCCCGGCCAGCCCGGCCAGCCCGGCCAGCAGCCTGGCAGGATGAGGCGGGAATCACCTGCATCGATTCGGCATTCATTCGGCCAGACGGCCAGCGCACAGCCCACGGCCAGCCCACGGCGGAACCACGCAACAGCCACAACCGCCGTCTAGTGGCGAGCGTGCACCAGGGGACCGCAGCCATGCATTCCACGAGGCACGACAAGCCTTCGACCCGACTAGTGCATTGATAACTTAACAAAGGCATCAAATGAAATTGGCATTGGCACATTTGACCCGTCGCAAGGCAACCCGCTTAACTAGCCGCAGTTTACAGGCCACTGCGGCCGAGAGCGTGTGACCATCGATTCCCCACTCTGGGGGCCGACCGGGGCGGGGCGTTCGCGGGTCCCGGCAAGGGTTCCGGCATTTTCAACAGGCTGTGGCTTGTGGCGACTAAAATCCTTTGTCCGACATTCCATTAAAGTGGGCGGGTTCGTTCACCTCGTGGCTTGCGCCCCGCGGGACGACTGGAAACAAGGCTGGGACAGTCTGGAAACGGCCAAAAAACGGCCCGAAAACGGCCTCAGAACGGCCTGAAAACGGTCTGAAAACAGTGTGCAAACTGACTCGGGCTTCGGGCTGCTCGGGTTACTCGAGCCTCGATCGGATTCTCCTCCCCAATCAGGTGCCCCGTAATGACAGAGCGCGCGGAATTGTTGTTGTTTCCTCTTTCCCCAGACAAAAAATTCGGAACGCTTATTTTCCATCATACACCGATCGTATGAAATTCAAAACGCGACCTAGCCCCAACGAATTGTTATAAAACGCGTTTTCTAGATATATTTTTATTTTTTATTTTTCTTATGTTGACTTTGCCTTATTGCTGACCTTTGGCGGGCTACTATCAACGCCTCCATCGAAGCCAGTTGGCGACGCGATCCTCCCACTACGCCCCGCCCCGCCCCGCCCCGCCCCGCCCCGCAGAGGTCTGCGCGGTCCCGGGGGCAACGGACTCCGCACGGTGCACTCTTGAACCACTCGAACGCACCGAAGCTCTGGCAGATCCAGATGCCGAACATGTCGAGTCGCAGCAACCGGTTGTACACTTGTTCGCCCGCCTGCAGGTTCATGAACAAGTGGTAGACGAAGCTGCCGACCCAGGGCGACACGGCGCCCACCAGGTGGCACCACGCCAGGAAGCGGCCGTGGGGGTCGAGACGCGACCACGGCATCAGCCCCGGCACCACCAGCAGGATGTACACGATGGGGATGCCTGCAACAACAAAGCACGCTCTGTACAGTCTGCACGCACACACACTCACACACAAACACACTCACACACCGGCGCGGGCCCCACCGCGAGGGGAAGCACGTCGGCGTAAGTTGATCCGGGTTAGATTATCTCGGGGCGCCGGGAGCGGGTGGGGTGGGGTGGGGAGGGGAGGGGTGGCACGGCAAAGGAAGTCTGCGGCGATAAGCGGAATTCGGGATGGAGCAACGACGCGGAGGCGCGGACGAGTCGACGAGTGCCCGGCTAGGCCATGACGCGGCCCGCGGCCCCCGGCGGCCCCCGCCCTTCGCGCTTCGCGCTTCGCGCTCTAGATTCGTTACCCAGCCCGGCAGGCCACGCGGCCACGCCCTCCACTCCACTGCCTATAAACCCTGTCCGTGTAAGGGCAGAGGGCGACCGGCGAGGGCAGTGGCCGAGGGCCTGCCTTCTGGGGCGCCTCACTATGTCGGCACATTCGACAGGCCCGGCTGGCGAGGCTGGCGAGGCTCGCGAGGCTCGCGAGGCTGGCGGGCCCTGAGTGGCCCTCGCCGCGACCTTATTCCACGGCCACACCCTCCCGCACGCCATGCAGCCCTCCAGCGCGCCCTGCAGCCCTCCAGCCCTCCAGCCCTCCAGCCCTCCAGCCCTCCAGCCCTCCAGCCCTCCAGCCCTCCAGCCCTCCAGCCCTCCAGCCCTCCAGCCCTCCAGCGCGCCCTGCAGCCTGCAGCGCCACTCCAGCCCAAAGGGATGAATCAAAGTCCAAAGAACAAAAGCAGGCCTGACTCAAAAGAGGCGCTTCGTCGCTCGGTCTTCGTCGCACTCACGGGAAGTTCCGTACGAAACGAGATTATGCCTCGGAATCGCTCGGCATGCAAAACGAAACGGAAAGTGCATCGTGTGGCCGGCGTGGCTGGCGCTGGCGTGGCTGGAGTTCGGCGAGGCCGGGCGAGGCGCTTTCCGGGGCCGTAGTGGGGACAGTACAGTGGTAGTAAGGGCGGTAGAGGCACACGCTTCCATTATTCACGGCCTGCCTTCGCCAGCCACTGCGGGTGTGTGCGCGACTGGGCGATCGCATGCATGCGCGGCCAAAGCGGCAAAGCACCAAAGCTCGGCGAAAGGCTCGCCACTCGCCCCTCCCGCGGCACGCGCACCGCGCACACGAACACACACTGCCGCGAGCCGTGGAATAAATAGCCTTCATCTGCCTGGCCGGGCCTGGCCGTGCCTGGCTTGCTGCTTTTCTTTTCTCTGCACCACTTCTCCTTTCCGCCGCCACGGCACGGCCACGGCACGGCCACGGCACGGCCTCGAGCTTTCAGCTTTCGTGCCTCTACACGCGCGGGGGAGAAAGGGTAAAAGGGGGAGGGGGGCTGCCTCCCCGCCGCCTCGCCGTCGACGCGAATCGGACAATGTTTGGAAGTAGTTCAGGGTCGGGCTGCCACGGCTGCCATCGCACCCCTCCTCCCTTGCAGCGAAGGGCAGTAGGGTACCGGGGAAGGGAAGGGTTGGCGGCGGGGCGGCGGGGCGCATCGCGGGGGAGGGGATGCTGCCGAGGTGTCCGGCAGGGGGGGAGGGGGAGGGGTGCCGCCCTTATCGCCCAGCTGGAGCGCGTCCCGCCACTGGAACACTGGAACGCGGCCTGGTTCGCGGCTTGGCGGCGCAGTGGCGTGGCGGCGTCGGGACCCGATATCCTGTTTGCCAAACCGAACCGAACCGCGGGGTGGCCGCTGGTCTGGCTTGAGTCTCGCATCCCGCTGGCTGGCCCGTGTTGGGCCCGCGGTCCAGTGGAGCCTGCTGGGGGGCCAGTCCGCCCTCAAGTCGAGAGCCCCTAGGTCTAGGCCCCTTGCAGTGTTATCTGATCGATTCCGAGGCGGCATACGGTGTCGCGGTGTCTCTGATATGTGGTGGCAGGCGGCAGTTCCATACGTGGCCGGCAGCCTACGGCAGCCTTGAGCCGGTCCGGCTAGGCCCGGCCGGCCGAGGGGCTGCAGTGACAAGGAAGCGGCCCCGATGCCCCGACGGATATCGGCTTCTTGAGGCCTCAATTGAGTGGGGCTGTGTGGCCTGGCCGGCTGGCCTGGCCGGCTGGCCTGGCGCCTGTTTGACATCGACTCGCGGTGGATCGCCCTAAGAGGATAAGTGGCGTCCTCTGGAGGAGCGAGAATAGCACCACCCTGCGATTGTATGAAGCCATCATTTGGTAATGCCGGGTCTCGTGACGCCCTGACAGGCAGCACCGGCTCTTCCCGTCATTTTTAATAATGGACGCGGCGACTCGAAAGTATGGCGCACCACCAGTAAAAAATGCATGAGCCAATGCAGTCGAAGCGCTCGGGAAAACTTGGAGCAGCACGTCAAGACAACCGCGGCGGCCAGGCGGTGGGGCGGTGGGGTCGGCCGAGCCCCGCTCCGATGGACAGCAGGCCGCAAGTCTTATGAATACGTGATGCTCCATCGCAGTGATGAGGGCCAACTCTGTGGCAGCGCGCCGAGGCTCAGGCTAGCCTCAGGCTTGCCACGGGCCGCGGCTCGCTCCGTGGGCCGACGACACCGCCCGTCCCGCCCTTTAATGGTCACCCCTCCCCCTCCCCCTTCCCCCGCGCCCGGAGGCGCAGAGAAGCACCGAAGCTCGGCGATCGACCGGGCCGCCCCGCCAAGTGTTAAATTCTTAACCGACTTCCTCGGTGACACGGCTCTCGGCCCGTAGCGATACGACAAGGACACCTTGACGGGCACCTCGCCGCCGCCCCGTCGCCCCGTCGCCGCGCGCCGGAAGTTCTCCGAGTCGCCCTCGACGCTAGAAGGGGGGGTGCTTGCTGCCCGCGGCAAATAGCCGCGAACACCGATGTTCGGAAACAGTTTCCACCCTGCCGTTTTTTCTACGCAGTATGCCCGCTGTCGGAACGAGATTAGCTCCGCTTGGCTGAAACGCACCGCGCGTCTACCGCTAAACGGCTTTCCCGATCCCCGCGCATTTGCCTTATCCCGCGTGTCATCGAGCCGGCATGGAAATAGCGCTGGCGGCGCGGCGCGGCGATGGCGGCGACAAGGCAACAAAGCGAAAAAGCCACCGGATGGCGGACGATGATGGCGGTGGACGCCTGTATAATTAGCGAGCTCTGCGGCGTGACGCGGCGTGACATCACCACGAGAACATCGGCGGAAACGTCTACTGGATAATGTGTAATGCATTAGTCGGCGCCGAGCCGCTGGTCTGGGCCGCCCCTGGCCCGGGGTGCCTGGGGGTGGCCGTCATGGCGTCGCCGCGTCGCCGCGCACTGCGCCGAGTGCCGAGCCGAGCCACCCTGCCGCCGTATCCTTTTTCCTCCGGGCTGGCGGACAGCCAAGCGCCGTGTGCGGCGGGGGGCGGCGAGGGCGGCGACGGGCCGCGGCGCGTGCACTTGGCTCCAGCCCGTCTGGGCCTCCGCCTTGGCTCTGCCGCACCACTGCCGCAACCCGGCACCGCCACAAGGTCATCAAGGCAGCCTTCGCGGTCACTCCGATCTCCGCAGGGTGCTGCAGGGACGGGGCGGCGAGCGACCGGCCCGTCCAGCCGCCTTGGTCGGAGGCGCTGTGGAGCGGCTGTGCGGCCGGGGGTGGGCGGCAAGCAAGGCGAGCAAGGCAAGCAAGGCGAGCAAGGCAAGCAAGGCGAGCAGCAAGCTGTGCCCCGTAATGGCCGCGCAAGGTGTCGGCATGGCCCTCGGCCCGGCCCTGGCTCATTGAATATCTGGGCCGGCGTCGCGGGGCAGTATGCAGAGCTGATGTGAGTGCGACAGAGACAGGGCGACGAAATGGCTCGGCAGGCGGGCTGGAGGGCTAGCGGGTCGGCGTGTAGGTGGCGATGGCCAGCGAAAAGCTTCCGCTCGCTTCCAATCCCATCCGCGTGGCCATGCGGCCATCTGCAGGGATTCGGTACGAGGAGGTGGAAAGAGGAGAGAGGGGGAGAGAGGGGCGGCCGGCCAGCCCCGCGCGCAGCCCGTGCCCCTCAACCTTTCACCGCCCGCCACCTGGTTCCGAACAGTGTGCCATGCCCTTCGCCTTCGCCGCTCTGTCTCTCTCGCACCCGCATTCGAGACAGCCAGAATGAGACCACTGCCGTCTGTCGTCAGGCCGGGGCCAGGAGGCGCGGAGAGGGCCTCTCGATGAGGGCGGCGGAGCAGAAGAGCGCCCGGCAGGTAGGCCTTCCCCGCCCCGCCGCGCTGGACTGCATTGCGGGGCAGGCTAACCTCCGATTGCTGGGCGCTTCGCCGCCTCGCCGCCTCTTCGCCTCGCTTCGGGGTGCGGAGCAGCGGAGCAGGAGACCGAGGGCGGGAGCAGCACCTTGTCTTTCGGAGAAGCCCGGCCGAGCCGCCGCGCCGCGCTGCGACAGAGTAGCTCCACGGATCGAACAAATGGTACCTGGGGCGTAGGGCGTTAGGGCGTGTCGACGGCGCGAGAGAGACAAAAGGGGAGGGGCGCGAGGGTCGGGGCGGGGAAAGGGCTGTTGTTCGCGTCATCAGTGCCGCTGCCGTGTGCTTTTGCCTGGCCGAGCCACGTGGCGGGCTGGGGGCTGGTCTGCAGTGCCGGTCGAACTGCGGCGCCTCGGCCAGCAGGACAGCAGGACGACATCCCTAGCAACGGGATACGGCCATCCCCCGCGAGATTGTCCACCGCGCGCCTCGCGGCGTGCCGTCTCCCTCTTCTACACAGAGCGCTCCGAGAGAGATAGAGACAGAAGTTTCACCCGACATTTATTGGTCGCGAGTCGGAAGGGCTGAGAACCGCTGGACAAATGGACGGGCAGTTTCGCACATCCCAGCACCAACGCGCTCGACCCACTTATTCCAAGAAGGAATCTCTCTCTCACTCATGAGGCGTCCCGTTTGGGTGCGAGGGAGACAGTAGAGGCCTGCGCCGGGCGGGCATTCAATGCCCGTGAAGTCCATAACTTTGAAGTACATGGACCGAAACGCACATAAGTTTGAGAGGCACTGATCCAGTCATAAAACTATGTTCGTGCGAAATCTGGAATGTTTTTGGCAGCAACCAACGAAGTTATAAGCTTCACGGGTATTGAATGCCCGCCCGGCGCAGGCCTCTACAGCCTGCTGCCCAGCTGGGCGACGCCGCCTGTTGGGGCTGGCTGGGGCGGTCCGATCCTCGACGAAGCTAGTATCGGCCTTCGGTCTTCGGCCTTCAGTCTTCGGCCTTCGGTCTTCGGCCTTCGGTCTTCGGCCTTCGGCCTTCGGCCCGGAGAGCAGACGCCGTGCCTCCGCCCCCGCCAAGTAGTTGCTGCAAGTGCTGCCCGAACTCGTGGCCGCGCCGTCGCCGCCGCGCCACTTCACCACGAAGACGCACTCCAGCCGAGAGCCTCTCCAAACTCCACGAGCACACAAGGGCCCGGGTGGAGCGAGGAGCCGAGGAGCCACGGAGCGCATCTGTGATTTTAACTTGAAGAAGCGATCGCCCCGATGCACTTTCGAAAGGTTTCTCCTCAGGGGAACCACAAGCGGCTCTTTCGACAGTCGCGGCAGGTTCCTTTTCGCCAACCAGCATCAACGGGGGTGGCTGCCCTGAAGGTCTGTTTCTCTGAAGAAAAGGCGGGAAATTTCAAAAATGTCTTTTCAGAAGTTTGATTCATGAGCGTAGCAGCATCCATGGGGTGGGGGTAGCGCTGCGCCGGGCTGTGCGGCCGCGATGCCCGCGATGGGCTCGCTATCAATCTTCGTCGCGGAAACTTGTTCCGTCCACACGACGGTCGGAGGTGGGGCTGGCGGGGCTGGCGGGGCTGGCCGGCAGGGCCGGCAGCCAGACGGCCAAAGAAATTGACGCCGGGCAGCAAGGCAGCAAGGCAGCGGCAGACCGGTGCAAGCGGAAAATGGGAAACGGGACGCGGCAAGTTCCAGCTGCAACGTGCCGCCCCGCGTCCTCGGGGAGGAACTTTCTGCCGCCGCTCCGCCGCTGTGCTGGATCCGCCGGGGCACTGCAGGCTGCACCATGGGGCCACGGCCGGCCACGGCGTGCGGAAGTCATCCATATTGATTCTACGGGAATTATCATCAGTCGCCACTGTCAATGCTGCGGCCGAATTAGAGAGCAGGGCTGCCAACTCACTTTGGCAAATGGACAAGGGGGGGGGGCAGGGGGAAGCGGTGCTGGAAGAAATTGGGCGAAGCGGCGGGCAGGGGGTGGAGGGGGTGGAACGGCGGACGTGTATTAAATGGCGCGCGGTGTAGCAATGTCAGGGGTGCAGCTTGGAGGGGGGGGGGCCTCCACGCAAGGCAAGGTCGCAGTGCGCGAATCGAGGACGGCCCCCAAAACACGACCGGGCCTGAGTTACGGAGGGGAGGGGGAGGGGGAGGTGAGTTTGCAATAAGTTTGTGAGATACGGAGGCTGCATGGCCGGGGGGTGGGGGCAGGGGGGCGGGCAGGGGGTGGGGGCAGCAGCTTGAAATACGGAGCGAATAAAGACGAAAATGAAAAGGCCGCAGAGGCAAGCATTGCGAGGAAAGCATTGAGCAGCGGAACGGAACGTCTCCGCCATCGCCATTCCTATCGACCACGCCGTGCCGCGCCCGCGGTGTCCGTATCCGCCCGGCCGCGGGAGAAGAGGGAAAAGAAAGGGAATGGCACGTCCAGGGGCGGGGCGTGGCGGGGCGTGGACGCACCGCGACCCGGTCCGCCCCCGTGTCGTGACGTCGTGACCTGGGTGTTCCAGAAACAGCGACGGGACGGCGGGCCGGGCGGGGCGTCTCGTTCGGTCTCGTCCGAAGAGGTTCCACTCGTGGTTCGCCGTGGTCCGGGAGCGAAATAACGCGCATTTTTAGCGCATTATTTGCGTTTTCCATCCCAAAAACTCGTCTACAATATAGAATGTGTATTATCATATCAAGCGTGTAATAAGTCGCTTCCAAGCGTATTGTAATGGGTAGTGATGGTATTATGCGAAAATCCACGCGTGCCACTCAGTGGCGTGCGCAGAAATTTTGAAAGGGGGGGCGGTCAGCCATACTTTTTGCCTACTTACAGGGGGAATGTGACGCAATTTGCCTACCTTCCAGGCGGCTGTCTGACACACACACACACACACACACACACACACACACATCCTCTCTCGCGCACGCCACTAGTACCACTCCGAAAGCGAATATCAAGAACCCCTCGCACTCTGAATCCAGGAACGTGACATCGCGTTGAAACGAATGTGACAAAACGTCGCGTTCCTTTGAGAGTTGTGTCGCATGCATTTGGATGTGAGTAAGCTACTGCATATGGCGTTCCAGGAATGAGAGTCGGTCAACAACGGGGACGCTGACTGACTTGCGTGGACGTGCGGGGGTGGGACAGGCGGGACAGGCGGGACAGGTGGGACAGCGGGGACAGGCGAGACAGATGCTGGACAGGCCTCCGCGAGAGGCCACAGGCGTATCGTGCCTTGCTAATTGGTCAGGTCAAGTCGGCAGAGTGCTTTCGAACATCCCTCACGTCGCTCTGTCTCGTCTTTCTCATGGCGCGTTCGGTGTAGGTGCGAGAAGAAAAAGCGAGGAAACGCTCCACGCGCGAATCAGTTTACAGGCAGGACGAGACCTACACGTGCCGGTCGGATGACGAACTAAATACCTGGCGTGTGCCTTACTTGGTGAGGTTTTAATTAAGCGTGCGGGCAGGTGGGCTCGAGTGGCCCCGTCCTCGGAAGTCCGGGAGGACGGGGCAGGGGGGATTGGGGTAGGGGGTGCGGCGGGGCCGTGGCGGGGCCGTGGCGGGTAGGGGCCCTCCTGCTGCTCCCGGCCCGTGGGAATCCCCGGTGTCCAGCCGCACCCCGCAGTGCGACAAATCAGAGCCAGGAGCCGAGCGGAGCCAGGAGCCAGGAGCCAGGAGCCAGGAGCGGAGCGGAGCCAGGGGGGACGGAGCCGAGCGATGGGCGAGCCAGGAGCCAGGAGCCACAGACCAGAGAGGAGCCGAGCCAGGCCAGCCGTGAGTGGGGTGACTGGGAGGCGAGCGACTCGTGGCGATGAAAGGAAGGAAAACACTACACTGGAACACTAGCAGCGCATAGCAGCGTCGCGGCGCCCTGTCAACGGTGTGATGCCCCCCCGGCCGCCTTGAGTTGTGTGCACCGGGCTGGGCCCTGGGCTGGGCTGTGTCGAGGGGGCGAGGCCCTCGCCGGCTCCACTCAAAAAGAAAGGGAGAGAGGGGCGGCAGCATGGCGGCAGGGGACAAGAATTGTTTCCCGTCGCGAATATTTGACGGCGTCCCGTGCGCGCTTCCCTGCCCGCTGTATCGTACATCACCTTGGCATTTCGCCCCCCTCCCCTCAACCCTCGCTCCCTGCCCTGCCCCTGCCCTGCCCCTCGAGGCCTGGAGACAACCGTATCGAGAGGTTCAGGCCCAGCGAGCCCGTCCCCGTCCCCAGCCCCTCCGCCCATCCACTCGAGGTATTGTGTCATCCCCGCAGCCCTCCGCCCCAACCCGTCATCCCTGCGGCACCACGACCACCACGACGGCGACCGCGCATGTCGCATGCCGCGATGCCGCACGCCGCGGCTGTGCGGTGGGGCCGCTAGGCCGCTAGGCCGCCCCGGGCCGCCCGGCAGACTTATTCTGCAGAGACGTCGTCGCTGTCTCTGTCGCACTCGTGAGGCCAGGCGTAGGGTGCGAGGGAGACAGCGATTGTTCGACGACCGTGGTACACTGCACGTTGCCTGCCCTCTACTCTACAGGCGCTGGCCGAGGCAAGAGCCGCAAGCTTCGGGGCAGCAGAGCAGTTACCAGCGAGACCTCGCGAATCAAACCTGCCGAAAGCACCCCACCCCTGAGGCATCGGCGCGCTAGAGACCCGGAAAGTTGGCGACGAGCCGAGAGGGAATGCCCCCACTCCCGAAATTCCAGAGCACCTGCCACTCAGGGCCAACATGCGTCGAAACTTCCAAAGCGAAGGAATGCGCATCTCGGGCCATCGCAAACTTTGCGGGCCATCAAGGGGCTAAGTGGGCGGACCAAGTCGACAAGTCGCGCTGCGCTGGCTGCGCTACTGCCAGGCTACCGCGCCAGGTACACTGGCTACACTTGGCTCACCGTGCGTCACGATGTTGACGGTCTCGTTGTGCAGGTAGAAGAGGCTCCGCAGCGAGCCCCAGAAGTCGGACATGGGCCGGTAGCCGGTCACGATGTACGGGTTGAACCGGAGGTGCGGCGGCACGTCGTGGAACGTGAGCAGGTTGAGCTTGGCGTCGTGCTGCTCCTGGAGGCCATGCTGTGGGCACGGCTGGGACTTCCCCTGCACGTAGCCGTTGCCGCCGTTGCCGCCGGGCGCGGTGAGCGACGCGGCGGGCGACGCGGCGGACAGTGGTGCGGCGCTCTTGTCCGGGACGGCGTCCGGGACGGCACAGACGTCCCCGCCGTCACCCTGGCAGGACAACGAGCCTCCGCAGGCGTCGCCGACGGCGTCCCTTCTCCTCCTCAGGACGGATTGGTCGTGGCTGCTGCAGGTGTGTTGGCTGGGGATGTCCGAGGCTTGGGCCGCAGCCTCACGCTGCAGTCTGTGGTCGGTGGTGGAGGCGGCCTCTGCAGGCGCAGGGGCGGCAGTGGCGGCCGCAGACGCGGGGCACGGCTCGGACGGAGCAGCTGCCATGGTCGCCGGTTGCGGCTGGTCCGGCTGCGGACCCGGGGGACCCTGAGGTGGCATGTGTGGCCGTCACCGGGGACCGCGGACCGCGGCGCCTACCCCTCGCTAGCCTCGCCTGCGGCCGGCCCGCAAGGCCCGCGCCAGCACGGAGGCCCTGACGCGGCGGGCTCGGAGGGGCACTCCGCGTGCTGCTTCGCGAGTTGCTCCGCGTTGAGGCGCGCGGTGCGCGGGGCGGACGTGCGGCCGGGGTCTGGCAGACCCGGCCTCTGGCTAGGCACTCTGCCCTAAAGCCGCTCTACGCTCTACGTACGGCTGAAGCCACCCCGGGCCAGCAGGACAGCACGCTGCCGACGCCAGCACCAACCGCCCCACGGCGCCCCCTCCACCGGGGGGCAGGCCAGGGGGCCCAGCCCGGCCCACGGCCACCGCAACATGCAGCACCCCGAGCGCGCATGCGCCCCCCGCATGGCCCAGTAGGGCCGGGGTAGCTGGGGGCACCCGCACCACCGCCAGGCCCGCCAGGGGAGACGGGGACGGGGGCGGGTATTGATCATTAAAGCGGACCAGCGCCAGGCTGCCCTGGTCGGGCTGCCCTAGTCCCTGGTGCTTGCAGCGCTTGCAGGGGCTAGGGCCTGAGGCTGCCCGAGGCCCGGCCCGTCCTTGCCCCCTAGGCGTCGCATCTCGCATCGCAGAGCCTTTCGCCTGCCCCTCCGAGCTGCTCACCCTCCCGCCCACGGCAACGGAAATGGCTGACAACGACCCTGGCCGCCAACGCTGTGCATACAGCGGCCGCCCGCCAATGCCGCTCCACCCACGACACGCTGCCTGGTTGCCTGCACGACCAGCAACCTGGGGCTTCCCTTTCCCATGCCTTGATGGAATCTCGCGGCGTGTCGGCGTGTCCGCGCCGCGTGTTCCACCCCAATCTCCGCTTCGCTTCCACGACATCGACCTGGACGCCATCCGCCATCCCGTCCGCCGCACGGCGCCGAACGGCCGGGCCATGCATGCGTGCGTGTCGTGGCACACCGTGGCACGTCACAGCCCACGCACCGCGTCATGTGGGACTCCACGCGCGACAATCGCGATCTCGCTCCAAACCGATCCAATCGAGAACAAGTCCAGGCGTAGGGATAAGATAAAACAAGGGACAATGTTGGTGCTGCCAGCAGCTGGCCGAGAACTGTTTATTTGTGCAGATCCCAATACAAGTTGTGTCTCAGCACAAGGCCATCGTCGATGTTCCAAAATTGATAACCACCCAAGCATCTAATTGTAAAATCATTGGTGACATTACATGAAATCATTGCACCACTCAACAAAAGAACAAATAAGGCAATAACAACAATTGGGCAAATTAATCAAGATACAACTTAAACCACATGTTCCAGAGATACAAGAGGATCCTGTCCCCTACATTCTTTCATTTCCCATGCTTGAAGTGATTTGGTTACAATTAAGAAGAAAACATGGACTCCATGACACAAACAGACTTGAAACAAGACAGAGAATGCTCACGTTGCCTTGTTATCTTCCTTTCCTGCTTTAGTTCCAGCAAAGACCACAAAGTAAGGAACACACAGTAGTATGCCCAAAATGTCAGGAAATTTGATGCATTAATTGTACATTCAAAATGCAAATGTGCAGTCACTCAGAAGAGATAGGATAAACAGTAATAATGTGCTGTGAGAATTCCATTACACCTCATCATTTATCAGTGAAAACCACAACAAATCCTCACACGTGGTACAAAACTGAGGTGTATCACAGAAAAAGAAGTACTAGTAACACAGAATTCCTGAACTTAAATTCCCCTCTAAACAAGAAAAACGTTTTCTTTAAGAGCAAAGAATAGATAAAATAAAGGACTTGGACGTCATTAATTGAAATGACAATCAGACAGAAGGCTTAGGCACTGCTGGTAAAACATCCCAACAGAAGAAACATTAAGAACTCACAGTGAGAGACAGTCAAAGCACAATATTTGTGAGTAATAGATTCAAAATATAAGTTTACATTCAGTACTCATTTTCAGACCATAGCAGTTAAAAAGCCCAAGTAGGTAATTGAACATATAAAAAGATAGGAACTGCCTTAAGACCTCAGTTTTCTTATATTAAGATAAAACAACAAATAAACAAACAGAAATTAAAATTGCTGGACTCTCTTGTTTTGTCTTGCCTGCCAAATTCATTAAAATTGCAAATCACTCCTAAAAGGAAGTGTTTTGGAAAGAATTCTTATTTTTAAAAAGCTTACCATGAAACTAGAAATGTTTGAAGCGAGGATAGACACTAGTACCATCAGTAAATATTGGTTGGTTACTTTTAAAGAAACTTCACCATTCAAAATAAATGAAACAAAAAAAATGGACCCCAAGATAATTAATAAATGTCTGGATAACGGTACTCATCATAAGATAACAAAATTAATAGTTAGGACACATACAGAAGAATAACAATCTGTTTGTCCCTTTTCACTCCACACAAGTTTTAGTCTCCAAACAGACGGACCATACATATTGGAGCATGCACATATTATTCTAATAGAAGGACTAGGCAGCACATACACAGCCTTTAACAGTACAATTCTTCAGAAAACATTGATGATGGATTCCCTTCCCTTTCCAACACCAATCCACCGAACTAGAGAGAAAAAAATGAAAAGGTAAAATATTAGTTTAGAGTTGTTATCCTAAGCATTGAAACTGATGTAAAAACAGGAAAGGCAAATACACATACTGGGAACTTCCACAAGCTCTTCTAGTTTCCGGATGTAATTTTTGGCATTTTCAGGAAGCTTTTCAAAATCTCTCACGTCTTCAATACTGGTCATCCACCCTGGTACTGTTAAGTAGTCAACCTAAACAAAAGAAATAAAGTGTTTAGCGTACTCCTATTCAAATGAAATTATTACTTACTCTTTAAGAGAAGTGCATATCTCTTACATCAACAGTGAGCAACTCAGCAGCACTGGAGGGGAAATAATCAAGCACTTTTCCGTTTTTCCTGTAAGCTACTGCAATCTTCAATTCAGGCAGCACATCAAGGATGTCCAATTTTGTTACACACAACCTGCAAACACAAAAATATTATTTTCACAACACTCAGCCAAATTTTTTAAAACAGAATGAATGTAGATGGAACACTTACTGGGTATATCCATTGACGAGTGTGGTATGTTTCAAAAGCGGTATGTCCAACCATCCGCATCGTCTTGGTCTCTTGGTGGTTACACCAATCTCATGACCTCTGCTCTGAAGCAAAGCTCCAATTTCCTGTTAAAAACCGCCGGTTCAAAAACATCCTTTCCAAACATTCAGGGAACACGAATATCACAAGGGCGCATGAAACATACATCACTCAACTCCGTCATGAATGGGCCATCCCCTACTCGAGTTGTGTAGGCTTTTACAACACCAACAACAGTGCCAATATTGACTGGAGGGATGCCCAGGCCAGTGCAAACACCACCGATACTGCAGTTAGATGATGTGACGTAAGGGTAGGTACCTAAAATGAACAATTACGTATTTAAAATATTGAAAAAGTTTTAAAATTTGCTTTAATAGTAGAGCAGTACTTAGAGGAAATATTATAGGGGAGCGTTCAAAATTTAACTAAGGGCCATTTTGGGTTTTTTTGACCCCCTTACCCCTATGTAAGGCTCTGCAGGTTAAAAAAAAAAAAAAAAAAAAGCGCTGGAAAACAAGTTTATATTGCTGCATTGCGCCGCCGATCGAGCCCAGCCGGAGGCGTAGAAACCAAAAACGCTTCTAGAACCCTGTTCTAGCGCGTTCCAAAAGCCTTACGCCCGGGTTGCCGTAGACCTCTCAACTCCCTCATCTAAGGCCACAACAACGCCCCCCCCCCTCCTTTCCGACCTCACATAAATTATGAACGCTCCCCGGCATAATGCATACCAAAATCAATGTCCAGCATAGCAGCATTGGCTCCCTCCACCAATATTTTCTTGTGCTGCCGTAGGGCTTCATGGAGAAATGAGACTGTTTCACACACAAGAGGCCTAATGCGTTCCGCAAACACTTTGTAACGCTCAAGTTCAGCAGGCACATCTACCACCAGATCTGGGAACATGCGTTGGTAGCAAGCTACCAAAGATTCAAACCTAGAAGAAGGGAAAGAAAAGTTAAGGAGAGTTTTTTCATTTGTGCCACAAATATAACTGTTTGAGTACCTACTTCTCAGCAAAGAGATTGAAATCACCAAGAAGATCTGCAATCCTTATGCCGTTTCGAGTAGCTTTAGACGAGTATGTTGGGCCAATGCCCTTCTTGGTGGTGCCCAGGGACTTCTTTCCCTTCTCTTGTTCTTGAAGACCATCAACAGACTGATGGAAGTCAAACACAAGATGTGCTCGGTCGGAAATGAGCAGGCGGTCTTTCCAGCCGGTCAGACCCTTGGCTTCATTTTTCTCAATCTCTTCAAAGAGCCCGGGGAGATGGATAACCACGCCGTTACCTAAACAAATCCAAAAATTAGCATCCATTCAGCAGCACAGGAAGCAGTTCTCTCTCCGGCTGGCTCAAGAATTTTCTCCCTGGCTGGCTCAAGAACTTCTCGGAACCACCTGCTTGCCGCCCGCGTCGCCGCCCCTGCAAGGGGTGCCAGGGGGCGGGAAGAAAGCCCCCACCCCCGCCTCCGCCCCCGCCGAGATCCGCGAGAGACGCGAACCAAGAGCGAACCCGTAATAATAGCACCAGCTTGGCGTGCGGCCCGAAAGGCTCGAGAGTCCATTCTCCTGAGGGAGGCGGGAACAGCGGGGTGCGCGCTTGACGCGGTGCGCCTCCCTGTCTGTGCCAGCCAGTGGCAGGCCAGCGGCAAGCCAGTGGCCGGCGCGGCGTCAAACCGGCACCCGAATGAACCACGCTCTAGGCACCGCGCCTCTACAACCCTCATGCTTCAGGTCATGTGACCTTACTCTTGCCTAGCTCCTGCCATCCTGCTCACGGACAACCTGGCTGGGGCGGGATGCGGCTTAGGCTCCCGGGAAATGTTGGACTCTGGGCGGCTGAGGGCCTCCGAGGTCGACGGGACGATCTGGCAATGCAGGCGATGCGTAGGGGGACTTCCCGGCCGGCCCGCCTGGGGCCTGCGCTGTGGCTGCCTGTGGCTGCCTGTGGCAAGGCTGATTCCGAAAAGTCGTTTCGTCGCAGTCCGTCCTTCTGATGGGGCATCCCGACGGCAAGTTCCCGCAGGGGTGCGAGAGCGACAGAGCGACACACGGTTCTTCGAAGCCATCCTGTGGCCTGCAGACTGGAGTCGCTTTCGTCGCTCTGTCTCTACCGCGCCTATACGGAGCACCCAGTCAGAGAGACAGTCATGAGAACGACTCCCGGAATGAGGCCGCCGCCGGCCCGCGGCGTGCAGTTCGATACCACGCTGCGCCATGGCGGGGCCGTGCGGGGGCCCTGCGGGGGCCCTACGGGGCGGGACGCGGGATGTCACCGCGGCGCACCGCGACTGCAGCCTGCTCGGCCTGCTTATGCAAATTAGGGGTGACCCCTTGGGGCTACGTACCTATCACAGACTTGCACTTGGGGTTGATGATGCCGCTGGGCAGGAGATGAAAGTCGTACTCCCGGTCTTCCACCACTACAGTGTGGCCGGCGTTGTTGCCGCCCTGGAAACAGCAATGAGTCGCATTACCTCTAATGCACAATCCACAGAAAAAGCCGCCCTCAAATTTGAAAAAAAAAAAAAAAAAAAAAAAGCGGTCCTTGGCATTCATTTAGGGCACTATTGTGCAGCATCTTACTACATGATGAAGGTCAAGTATCTTTTACTTAGTACAGTGCCTTGGCACACTTGGCACCCTGTTCTCAACAAGTGTTAAAAACTTTCGCTCGGACTGGCACAGATCCAACCTTGCTCTATGATATGTAAGATCCTCAGGTTTTCCCCCTCCCTGAAATCTCAATGATTGGACTTAACACAATAGTTCACATCCCAAGTTATCATCAACTTCAAAATGCTTTTTTACTTTTTGAAAATCTTAAATTGCAGGGCCAGCCACATCATAAAGAAAAAGGGTATTTAAAATAAAGCTAATAAAAGTTAAGACAAGTGTAAGGGAAAGACTTCAACAAACCAAACTATGTTGCCTTGAAAAAACACATGTGTAGGGTGATGAATCTAAAATATTGAAAGAGCCTGTGAGGTACAATTGGCGTGCAGGAATAGGGAGTGCAGGCAGCATGTTACTGATAATGTGTCATTAAAGACAAATTTAATCACTTAAGTAAGTCCCGATAAAAATAGAATGTAATCTTCCTAATGTTATTGATTGCTGAGGGAACGGGAATGTCAGAAAGGAAACACTGACAAGCAACTAAAAAGAAAAACAATGACGAAGCCGACCTAACAATAATCTATTTTATAGGTTAGAAACTAGTCCATAAACTAAAATTAACCACTAACAAAATTATGACAGCAGTTTCTTGTACCAAATTTCTGTTGCACGGAGTGAGATAAAATTTGAGGCGGCAAAGGACTTCCGTCAACTTCTTCCTTTCAAATAATAGGCCAAAAAATGGGTAGCACCGTTGATAACGAAGAAAGAGCACATTGCAAGGGAGGCGAGTGAGCAACAAAAACTGACGAGACCCTGGCGCAACAATGCCCGCCACGGCCAGTGGCAGCCAAACGGCTTCAAAGCGTAGGGGTGCAATTCTCGCGTGGAACAGGTCTGACGCGTCTGGGCAGAGGGAAAGAGAATTTGCACTCACCTGACACCGACACACGACGTCCACATCAGTCGCAAGCATATCCACGACCTTCCCCTTGCCTTCGTCGCCCCACTGGGCCCCCAGGACAACCGTCACTTTCGCGGCCATCTCCGTCCGAGACTTCCGTCTCGGTGAATTCGTCACTTCACCATTCATCTTGACAAGAAAGTCGGACATCAACTAGCGACCAGACGAAATGCCATGGAGAGCTTCTTCTGCGACGGACAAGCGCGGGGAGCGCGTGAAGACCTCCGCGAGAGAAGTCACATGCACGAAAGCACGCACCAGATGTCGCTGCGGTCGCTGTGCAACTCTAAACAAACAACAAAACAACCAACAACATCAACAACTACCAGTTTAGGCAACCTATGAAATCCTAGGCTTGCCTCCATGATTTTGTCATATCTTGGTGAATGATTGAAGAATTAAGTCGGAAATTTATTTGATAATGTCATCTTGTAAAATTTATCCTTGAATCTCAAAATTTTTGGATCAATTCTCTGTTTTTCGTGAACAAGAGAAATTGGCAGCACGTGAAAGGGACGAAGTCGTGGTTCTGGCAAGGCGGTGTTGGCGTCGCCCGGCCACTTCCTTTTCCGACAGGTCTTTCATGTGCCGTACAGTGTTTTGAGCAAAATGACGACCACCATTTCAAAGAAACGAAAGGTAAATTACCGATATTGTACCTTTTAAATCACCTTTATTGGGTGGCACTATTTTTTTTTACACACTATCTTACTTGAATGCTCATTAGAACTCGTAGATTTGTGTCTATTGCCCGATGGTGATGGATTTTCACCGGGCTGCAACCTCTCCGCCATGGAGTACGTGTTCGTGTTAGTTTTCGTCTCCAGTATTTACCTGTATTTTGGACGGGTTTCTATGCCATGTTTCTTGTGGCTTTTACGAATATTGCTTATCATGACACCTCAATCGTAACAGATTTATTTTCCGGTGACATGGGTAACCTAACCTACGTGTTCTCACTGTGTTTACGCATGTTGGGTAGTACTCAAAGTGCAGTGCAGTATGTTCTTGGCCAAAGACCAAGTACCTCTGCGTCGGGTTGTCAACGGACTCGAGAGGATGTTTTTAACGTTTCATCTCCTTGTCATGGATTATTAAATTTGTGTTTATTGTCCTCAGTTTGTTGGAGACGGAGTCTTCAAAGCTGAGCTCAACGAGTTCCTTACTCGTGAGCTCGCTGAGGATGGTTACTCCGGAGTGGAGGTCCGTGTGACCCCATCTCGTACCGAGATCATCATCATGGCCACACGTACCCAGAATGTTCTCGGAGAGAAGGGTAGGCGCATTCGTGAGCTGACTTCTGTTGTGCAGAAGAGGTTCAACTTCCCTGAGAACTCTGTAAGTATGCTGCTCTGTGCACTGTCATTGCCCCTGCCTGAACATCTTGACATTTACGGAGGTAGTTGCGAGATGTTTCCTAATTGTTTGTATCCTGTTACAGGTTGAACTGTACGCTGAGAAGGTTGCCACTCGTGGTCTCTGCGCCATTGCCCAGGCTGAGTCGCTCAGATACAAACTGATTGGTGGTCTTGCTGTAGGAGGTAAGTTATTTTATGTGCATCTTTCTTACTCTTGGGCTTTTAACTGACAGACTTGTTTATATAAGCAAAGGCTGTATGCAAAATAGCCCATATTAAACAGTGGAAATGAGTCATTTTTAATTAAATTTTGAAAATGAGTCATCTACACCCTCTGACATTGTTCTTTAGTATTCTTATCTTAAAATGTTTACTTTTGGGCCCTTTACTGAAGGTTTGCTTGTACAAGCAAGACTTTATGCAAGAGCCCATATTAATTAGTGGATATATGGCCATCATTTGTCACTCTGCAAATGATGGTAGTCTACACCCTCTGACATTGTTTTTAGTCTTGGTCTGTGGTAACTTGTGCTTACATATCATTACTTGAGGGCTCTTCATTGACAGCTCGCTGATCCAAGCTGGTTGTTTTCTTCGAGCCAATATTAATTTGTGGAAAAGTGACTGATGTTTCTTGTGATGGAAACAACAGTAGTTTATCCTCGAACATCTTCCTATCATAGCACTTTCCCCGGCCTAAACAGTCCTCAAAGGCATTTGCTCACACCTCATGTTCTTTTTTTGTTTAGGGCCTGCTATGGTGTTCTCCGATTCATCATGGAGAGTGGTGCCAAGGGCTGTGAGGTGGTTGTCAGTGGCAAGCTCCGTGGACAGCGTGCCAAGTCCATGAAGTTTGTTGATGGCTTGATGATTCACAGTGGTGAACCCACTAATGATTATGTTGACGCAGCCACCCGTCACGTCCTGCTTAGGCAAGGTAAGATATCAATGTTTCTGCTTTGAGAATTTGTTAAATGGTCTATTTTTTGTTGTTTTACAATTTTCTGATGTACAATGCCACATTTTCAGGTGTCCTTGGTATTAAGGTCAAGATTATGTTGCCTTGGGATCCTAATGGCAAGACTGGACCCAAGAAACCTCTCCCTGACAACGTTTCTGTGGTCGAGCCCAAGGAAGAGACACTTCCTACCATGCCATCAAGTGATGTGAAGGCAAGCAAGCCTGATGCTGCACCCATCACACCGATTGTTTGAAGTCCTTTAATATAAAATTTAAAAACTGAATATGTGTTATTAATAGCCCCTCCATTGATTGAATGAGACAATTAAGTGGGTCGCAATTTGTTTATTGATAATATCACAAGATAATCAGGACAAGAATAATAGACTGTTGTCCAACTCCACCAGGCTGCAACACTAGATTTGGATTGAGTTCATGCCTTGTACTCTCAAACATGTACATTGCAACTAATATTATTGAAAACACTTCTTGACTGTTACACTCAGTGTCTGCTATTTGCCCCGACAATTTGTTACACAATTTGGCAACTTTATTACTTAATTAGAACGAACATGCACTTCCTGTAATAAGATTGTGTGCTCAGTCTTACAAATAACTACGTCTGTGAGACTTGCCTAAACAAGGAACAGCATGAAAGCAGACAAGAAGTAAACTAAGTCATATCATTGTACGTTCATAATCAATATTCATAATCAGTCCCAATTTAACCTAGAATGGTTTTACATTCTCCTCATGCCTAAGATACACTCAACTTTCTTAGGTGATAACTCCACAGAAAGTGAGGAAAAAAGTTCTTCATAAGTACAAATGTAACAAGGGGGAAAATGCTACCACATCAAAGACACAATCATAAAAACTTAAGAAAGCAACAGGACTTTGGTTGCCTTGGAATGCACTATATCAACCAGTTGTACAGTGATCATATCAAATTGTGGATGGTGCATGAACTTAAGATAACAAAATAGGTACAGTAGGAAAGTAGTGCTACCTTTGCATGAATTCACAACACCTCTCGTATTATAATTAATATTGTATGTATCATATATATGTTAAGCATATATATACAAATTTATTATATACATCTGTACAAAAACAACAAATCTGATACATCTGATTGCACAAAGAAAATCACAACAACACACAAAACATTTTTCTAATTTGTTTGAATACCACTTTAACCTGGAGTCCTTAGATAGGCCCTTCAAACATGAAATGTGCGGAACACCATTTCTGTAATCAAATAAACCCACTCCCCTCTTTGCACAAAAACTAAAAATAAATACAAAAATTATAACATTAGCAGAGGGAGAAACAACTCAAGAAAATGGCACAATGGTCACTACTGCCTCCTATACCGAACTAGTATTATCAGCAGACCAAGGAGGGCTGTTATGAGATAGAGATCCCAGTATGGCCCAAGGAGGTGATTAAGATTTAGAAGAAGGAACCATTCTTGCCAACGAATCTGCAAAGAACAAAATTCAAACAAATAAAGTAGTTAAATATGAACAGTACATATCTTACAGCAGACATGTATTGTTATCATAACATACCTCCTGTAAATACTTGACTCCAAAAATCAAAGAAAGTTTCATCAAAGCTAAGTACACAGGCACTTTCGCATCGTGGTTAGTGTCAGAAGCTCGATCATAGCATCGCTTTGCCAAGTGAATATCCTGCAGAAAATTGTTAAATAATTTATAATAAATAGGTGAAAACATGGTAAAAAGAAAATATTGAATTTAGTTACCTGTTTCATGCCTAAACCTTGCTCATGCATGTAGCCCAAGTTGAACATTGCCTGAGCATTGTGTTGGTGGTCTGATGCATGCCGGTAATGAGATGCTGCCGCCTCAAAGTCAACAGGGGTTCCCAAACCATAATAATGATAGTCACCCAGCTTTACTTGAGCCGCAGAATACCCCTGTGCAGCTGCCCTGCCCCAGTACATTAAGGCTCGCACATACATTTCTTCTGGAGTTGAGAATAGGGTCAAAGATTCACCTAAAAAGAATAGGATTATCAAGTAAAGAAGCCTTTAAGGGTTAGGAGTAAATTTTATGCAACTGACAAGAAATACAGCCTTACCTTTATCCAGGACAAAAGCTGCATTGCTTTGAGCTACCTCATAACCGAGCTCAGCAAGGAGAGCATATGTAACAAATGCTTCTTCGAAGTGACCATTCCGATAATGAGAATGAGCCTCCATAAGCCGGTTACCCCATTTACCACGCTCAGCAACATTTTTATACAGCTGAGAAGGAAACACAATGGTAAGAAATAGGAATATCTTTATCAAATGGAATATGAACAGGAGGGAAAGCTGACCTCCACTGCCATGGAACAGGATCGCAACATGCCCGTTCCAGTTGCATGCATTTGAGCAAGATTATAGTATGCCAGCACATGGCCAGATTGTGATGCCAAAGCAAATAATTTATTGGCCATTCTATAATTTCTTCGCACACCAAGACCGCCTGTGAACACAAATAAATTCACTGTGTGTCCCCTCACATTTTGAATCAAGTAAAGAAAAAGGTAATTAAGGGGGTAAACGTACTAAAGTACATGTTTCCCAGTTGAAGTTGTCCATCAACCCAATTTTGATCAGCTGCCTGAGTGAAATATTTGAGGGCCTTCTGGTAATCCTTTGGCACACCTCTACCATGCAGGTACATGAGGCCTAAGCCGCTCTGGCCCACTGGATTGCCCTGGTCAGCAGCTTTCTTGAAGTATTTAAATGCTGTTTGGTTGTCTTGCTTTATCATGTCACTACCTTCCAAGTAAATCTATCATAAAATAAATTAAAATTTAAGAAAGTACAAATTTTAAATCATAAATTAAAAATCAGTCAGGAGAAGGAAGGAACAAAAATTTCAGAGACTCTACTACCTTGCCCAAAAAGGCCATAGCTGCTGGATTTCCAGCATCTGCTGCTTGCAAGAAGTATCTTGCTGCTTGTAAATGATCTTGCTGGACACCACGGCCACCCTGGTAGTGCAACTGCCCGAGGCCAACCTAGAGGATAAGACTTTGCCAGTTACCTGATACGCGGTAATAGTCTAAAAACTCTTCTACAATAAAAATAATACAAGAATGGAATTTTATCGCAGATATGTATGTTTACCTGAGCTTGTACATCTCCTTTCTCAGCAAGTAATTGATAGTAATCAATAAGATCTTTGTCTAAAATACCAGAATTATATCCTGGGTTTTCGGCCTCTTCCAAAAGTCTGACGCGCTGGACCATGCCACCACCAGACAAGGATACGTCCTCTGCAACTGTGAACCAAAGACTCTTTTCTTTTTTTCTCTTTTTGCAATAAAATGCATCCTCTGCCACAATGCTTTACTAAAGATGTTAACACACAACAAGATACTGATGGCACTCACCTTTGTTGGCAACTTTCCTGTAGAAGTCCAAAGACTTTTCACAGCTGTTAGGGACAGTGGCTCCAGCAAAATAACGGTAGCCCAGTGCCATCCTAGCCCACTGGCTGCCTCCTAAAGCTGCCACCGTGTAATGCACCAAAGCCCTTGCTTGACTGGCATTTACAGAAATGCCTGTTGCATAGAGAAAACCCAGACCCTGTCCAAATTCAATTGATACAGTTAAAAACTCTTCTAGAATCAAGAATAAATTGAAACAATGCTTTGATTTTCTTGAAATCATTACCATGTGTGCCTCAGCTACATTTTGATTTTCTGCTAAGTCATAAAATGTTGCCTTTGCGGAGTCAATGTCCTGTCTTATTGGATTAGAACCCAACAGTTCTGCCCAGGCCAAATGTAACCTGGCCTCAATGTGTCCAAGGCCTGCAGCTTGCTTGATCTGTGAGTATGCTTCTGCCACATTAGGATGTGTTGCATTTAGTGTTACCTTTGCTTTGGTCCATAACAACTCCGCTAAAAAAACAAAACAAAAAAAAACAAATAGTTAAAGTTTTGAAAAAATGCAACTGAAGTTAAAAGGCAGAGTTCAATTTTTACCTTCTTGTTCTTCTGGAGTTAACACCTTTGGAGGGAGTTCTGGTAGTTCTGGTAATTCTTTCATTGCCTTAGCCACTTCTTCTTGTGTGATTTCCTCTTCAGCTTCATTGACTTCATTATAGGGCACCCCATTCATCTGAGAAAAGACTCATAAAGGGTTTAAACTCCATCCAGTAAGTTAGTTACAGTGACTAAACATCAACACCTAGTTGACATACTTGGAGAAAAAGATTTTTAAGGATCTTTGACTGAAGAGCTGCAGCAAGATCAGCAGGAATACTATCGTCTTCTTCAGATGCCCCTGAGCCATCTTCCGAACTGAGCGGCTCTCCCCCAGATAGATCAGGAGCAGAAATCATCTTGATGGCTTCATTTCGAATATCATCAACCTATAGGAAGAGAAACCATGATGTCATCTTTATGTGCAACTTGTGAAAATTAATACTTTTCATTCTTCAAAGGGAAGAATATAAGATAATATCTTGCAGCAAACCTGAACCTCTTGGCTGTAAAGAGACCGACTCTCAACCTCATCTTCGGCCTTATCATCTTCAGCTTTCTGAGACGAGGATTTCTTCAATCGATATTCATTAGCATACGCAATTGAAACAAAAGCAACAAGAAAGCACAAAACTATATACTTTTGCTGCATACTGTCAGACCTGAAATAAAAATAAAAATATATTACCATGATTGACAGAAGAAAGCATAACATGTAGTCATTTATTTAAATTGGGAATGCAGTTACGAGAATTAATGTCACAAAAGCCATAAAACGATTAAGAATGAAAAAGCAGAAACAATCCCAAATCAAATTTAAATAAATACATAACCTAGTTGATTTGCACATTGGTTACAAATAAATTTCAAATCAGGCTTTGTCAACAAGAATTCAAAAATGAAAATACTGTACGTTAGAATTACCTTGCTTGATAACAAATAAAGGACAATATGACGTGGTGAAGTGGGATTGGTCTTGGTAGGCTTATGCTGTGTCAAACATCACTCAATCCAGTTGCATTCAGCCCGAAACGCACCTCTCTTGGCAATCACGTCAATAATTTAGGGTTTCACGAAAGTCATGGATGAAAGTCATTGGTATCGATTCCCATAGAATGGGCGCATAAATATTAATACCGGTGAAATATTTAGATTAGAAGCACTGTGTTTATGGTTAGTGTCGTCTGAAGAGAGGTGTCAAGAATACAAACATTTTCAGTTTCACATTCAGATTTCTGTGAGTGTGTGGATGAGAAACTTGGCCTGGCCCGGCAATTATGAAAACAGCAATCCGCAAAAATCCTTTTAAGTTCTTGACGTACCTTTTGTACGAAGTGTCGGAAGATTGATTTAAATGCAAAGAAAGTGCGGACCATCTGCAAAGACGCCGAATACGAAAATATGGCTAGAAATCACTGGAGACGTTGACGTTCATGTAACACGTCGTCGACCCTTTCTCCCCTGCGGCCTCTGCCTCTCCACTGCGGACTTGTTGCACTGTCCCTCTCGCACCGAGAGGACGCCCCGTGCGGGCGCGAGAGAGAAAGAGAGACGAAGCACGGAAGGCTCGGGGGAGAAAAGGGAGGGGCAGCGACCGGGCACCCGGGCACACACCACTGTGACGTCACGACGCTTTGCTCACTTCTCACTTACGCCCCAGCCCAACATCACGGGCCAGCATCCGACCGTATCGCACGGGCAGGACCCTAATCCCAATCTCGCGAGCTTTGTGGAGCGCAGGCGTTGAGTGGTGGTGCTTCAACCTCATCTCCGTAGAAATGATCCTCAGCTCGTATTGTTGGCTCGGTTGACCTACAAATCTCTCCCGCTCGTTGCATCAGCTTCAGCCCCCTGCTCCGTCTGCTCCTGCTCAAGCAGAGCACGCTGTTGGTGCTAATTTCTGCTCATTGATCACTGAGTGTGGAGAAAATGAGTGAGGACCGGGAAACCCCGGACGGCGCTACGGCCGGAGACAGCTTGCTCAAGCCCGACGAGAGCAAGGATAGTGTTGCTGAGGTTGACGTTTCCGACAGTCGAGTCCTCGCCAAGCCTGACAGCAAGGTGGAAGTCAAGTATGTGAATGCGGATTCACAGAATGGGGATGCCAAAATTGACATCGAGAATGTAAACGTAAAAGTGTTTGCTGGTATGGGCAAGGAGGAGCTGATGCGTTTTGCCAACGACCCTTTCTGGGTCCGAACACGATGGATCCTCTTTGGCTTGTTCTGGCTGCTTTGGCTGGCCATGCTTGTCGGAGCAATTGCTATTATTGTTCTGGCCCCCCGATGTGGCAAGAAGGCTCAGTGGTGGGAACGCAGTCCTCTGTATGAGGTCAATGTTCGCTCCTTCAAAGATGGATCACGTATGGCTGATGGTATCGGAGATATACAAGGTACATTTATTGTTGTACCGTGGGCCTTATGCCTGAGTCGATTTGAACCCCTTAACATATTTTTCCATTTTTTTGTTTTCAGGAATGCGCTCTAAGCTGGACTACATCAAACGGGACCTTGGTGTTGATGGAGTTATTTTGTCCTCAATCTATCCCACTGGCTCGGACTCTTCGCCTGAGTCGGTCACTGACTTTAAGGCTATTCATCCAAACCTTGGTACACTGGACGAGTTCAAGGAACTAATTGCTGACATGAAAGCTAAAGGTTTGTATCCTCTACATTTTATGAGATTTGATATATTCTTACTCATAAATTAATTTTTTTTCCCCCTTTGCAGATCTGCGATTAGTCCTTGATTTAGTTCCAAATCACTCAGGCAAACAGCACAAGTGGTTCCAGGACTCAATAAAAAATATATCACCTTACAAAGACTACTACGTGTGGTCCGCAGGGAAAGGAACTAACCAGAAAAATGCCCCTCCTAATAATTGGGTTGGTGCTTTAAGAAAAACACTTACTAAACTATGACCATTTCAAAAAATAAGGAAAATAATCATTTTTAACATCTGTTGATTAGGTGAGTGTGACTGGTGGATCAGCATGGGAGTGGAATGAAGAAAGAAATCAATTTTACTTGCATCAGTTTGGCACTGGACAGCCTGATCTCAACTTCCACAATCCTGCTGTCAAGGAAGAATTTGATGTAAGTACCTCTTGATTAAACTGATTTTATGTTATGTTTTTTTGTGGTATCTGTTTTTTGTTGTGAGTGTGTGTGGTTTTTTTGTGTTTTCCTTTTTTTTTTTTGTCTCTTTGTCTTTTAAATTAAATAATCAGTAAATTCGTTTTCTTTGGCAGGGAATCTTAAAATACTGGCTTGGCTTGGGTGTAAGTGGCTTCCAGTTGAGGAAATCTGCTTTCCTGGTTGAAGATGACAAACTTCAAGACGAGAAACCAGACTCCCATTCAAGGACTACCCATGACAACTATGACTTTTATAACCACAAGAATACAAAATACCTTTATAATACTTTCAAATTGGTTGGGCACTGGCGTTCTTTGGTCAATAATGCAAGCGATGAAAAGTAAGTCAGTTTCATATTAGTATTGTGTACTTATATTTTACATGGATTTTTATTTATCTTCCTTGCAATGTGTGTGATTTATTTGACAGTATTTTGCTGGTCAAAGATGAATTCCCCTTGTTGGACTTTAAACATGATGGACAGCCTGACAAGAGCACAGCTGCTGCTGGTGACCTCCTGCAAACCCCTGACTTTTTACAATCTATACCCAGCAAAATTGTTGTGACCGATTTGAGCAAGAGTATTCAAGACGCCATAGCGCGCACACCAAGTCATAAGCCAGCGTGGAGAGTATGTTAAACACCCAACCTATCTTTTTAAAAAACTTGGTTCATGTTTTTACCTTCTTGATTTTTTTTTTTGATTTTTTTTTCCAATTTTTTTTTCCAATTTTATAGTTGGGGAGTGAAAGTAACCAACGTCTAGCATCGAAGTTCTCATCAGGTGTGGCTGAAGGCCTGATGATGGTCACATTACTTCTTCCTGGGACTCCCATAGTTTACTATGGTGATGAAATTGGGTTGAAGGATATCAACCAAGATGTAAATAACCGAGCTTTGGGTCCCATGCAATGGAATTCTTCTTCTAATGCAGGTGTGCATGTGCATTTTTAGCTATCATTTTTATGACAGTTCAAAACCTGACACTTAGACCTAATTTTTTAAAATTTCTTGATTCAGGCTTCACTTCTGATGCCATTTCACCCTGGCTGAAAGGAATCAGTCCAGCAGTTACGAATGTAGAAGCTGAGCTGAAAGCGGAGCACAGTACATTAAAAACTTTCAGAGACCTTGTGCAGATACGGAAGACAATGGTTGCTGTCACAGCTGGAAAAACAAATATAACTGTACTGAATGCCACCCGGACTGATGGCACTTTAGCAAATAACTCTATACTCGCTTATACTCGCACTAAGAGTGGAAACCCAGGTGTCTTGGTTGCCATGAATCCATCCAGAGAGGAGTTGAATGTTGATTTTGGTCACATTCCTGGTGTAGCTAATGAATTAACTGTTCATGCTGTCACTACAAACTTTGCCCATAAAGACCTGCAAGTAAAGTAAGTGAATGCTTTGAAATAATCAAAACATTACTTCATTTTAGTATGTGTTCTAATTATTGTTTCCCCTTCAAACTTCTTTTAGGTCCAAAACTCAACGAGATGCTGTTAAACTCCCTGCAGAGTCAGGAATAACATTTACCTTTGTGTACAAGGGTGAGGAAGATTGATCTGTTTCTAGGATGATCAAGACTTTTCAGTAGATGTCTAGCCATGTCTTGCTTGCTAACCCTGCACTAGGACATCTCATATCTAGTGCCAATGCTTTAGAAAATATTCTTGTAGTGCTATTACCTATCATACATTTTAATCCTGAGACATCTGATTTATTATCTCAAGTGAAATCGGATCTATAATCTCAAGTTGAATAATCTCAAATGAAAGCTGAGCAAAGCGTTTTCCTATAACATTGTTCCTATTGTATTTTTGTTTTTTAATTTATTGATGAGTGACCAAAGTAACCATACTTTTGGAACTGATTTTCTGTAACTTTGACGTGTTGCAGCCTTTGTGGTCTTTTGACACCTGGTATGTCTCATTAAATTTGCTTTCTGCCAAGCATTTTAACTTAGCATATTTTTTCTCTAAATCTTTAGCACCCCTCATCATTCCCTTGCACTTTTCTACCAACAGTAAATTTAATTACACAGAAAACAGCTTTTTCTAAACCAATATTGCACAAGCACTCACATATTCCTGCCATCTTAATAGCCAAGGCCTCTCTTGAGCTAGTAGTCCTGAATAATGGGCTGAGGCTGATAAGGAACAGCTTTGATATGCAAAAGCTGTCCTGTGGCTGCAACAATTTTTTTTGTTTCATTTCTCTACTTCATTCCTGTATTGAGAATTCCGTCTTTTGATCGTGATCCCAGAAACGGGACATGGCAGTCCCGGCCTGCAAGGCAGGCGATGCCCCCTCCAACGCCTGTCAGGTGGCCAGTCCCGCAACACGCCGTGGTGGAGACGGTGGCCTACCCTGCCCCCGTGAAGACGACAGGGGCGAGGTAGGCCAGCGTCTCCGTCTCCACACCGGTGTGTTCTGAGACGGATCGCTGGCCTACCTCACAGGCGCTACGGGCCTGCTGGCCAACAGTGCGGGCGACCAACTATCTTCTCGTTCGTGGCATTCTTGAGTGGCATGGCATGAACTTGCGGCCGCGAACAGGGCGTCGTCCGGCGGGGGCAAGCTAGGCCTCCATCTCCACACCAGTGAGTGGACTAGTGGGGACCGGCGGCCTACCTCGCAGGCGCTGAGGAGGTGCTTAAGGGGGTTACAAGTGAGACTGCCCCCTTAAGGAGGGCGGTTACCAAACCCACTCAAGAAAACAACAGCTTGTTTTTCAGCGCTCCTGTCTTGTGTATTGTGGTCACAATGAGGCTCGTCTCAATTCCTATGCTCCCGCGCGGCCGAGCAAAGAAAGTCCGCTCGTCTTCCCTCATTATTGCGCCGATGCCCTTTGACGCCCGTCCGAAGCCAGGCAGTACAAAGCCTTCCCTCCGGTGGCGATAGAACGACAGCGACAGACGTTTAAAAAGTGCCTATCGTCACTGGCACGGCGACGGCGATACGAAGCGGTCATCGTGAACAGGTTCCTTATCTTGCCAATCAGGACCCTAAAGACCTGGCTGAGATTTCCGAAGGGCCTGATGATCGTCTCGGCGCCACGGGCCAGCGCTCTTTGTTTCTGACGTAGAGCGCGCGCTGACCGCCTCGCCCCGCCCCACCCCCACCACTGGACCGGGACGGACAGTGACGGTACGGCGCGCCACCATGCCGCGTCTGTATATAGGCAAGCCCGAAGCGCGACCGGGATCGCGAGCGGTCAGTCTGGTCAACAGACTGCCGTCAAGAGGACGTCCCGAAGCCACGCCAACATGTAAGTACAAAAGCGAGGCGGAGTTCCAGCGCCACGTCGCGAAGTGCGAATCAGGAGTGCCGTCCTTGACCAGGCAGAGGTGGCTCGCCTCGCCACTCGCCAGCAGGGCTTCGCCTTGGCTTTGCCAAGCTGCGCGAAGACGCAGCTGTTGCGGGGAAGTCCTGCGGGTGGCCAGGACAGCACGATGTCGGGAAAGGGCGAAGTTTGGAGCAGTGTGCCGATTCCTTCCTAACAGTGGTCTCGTTCTGTCTCTCTCGCGTGAGACGGAACACGGCGAGGTGCAGTGTGGACGCCGAATCCTTTGTCCGCGGCCTGCAGGCTGCGGCCTGCGAGGCTCCCACCTCGCTCGCCACCGCATCGCATCGCATCGAGCAGCAGGGGGAGGGGGGAGGGGGCAGAGGGCACTTTGCTTGTTTGCCATCACCGCCATCACGCCGAGTCGCCGAGGAGAGGAGACACTGACCCGCCGAGCACGCGGAGCACGCCGAGCCAGGCCGTCCGACAGCCCAACGCGGCGGCGCGCTTTTCTGATAACCGCCGCGGCGTAGCCTTAGCCTAGGCGTGGCCTGGCCAGCCTGACCAGCCTGACCGCCTCGTCAACACACGGGCCGCCGCCGTCGATTCCATCAACTCGATTCGATTGCTCGCGAAGGCGAGGCCGCCGCGTCGCCACGGGCAAGAGGTTGCCGGATCCTGCCACCGACGCCGGGCTTTGGGTTTCAGAAAGCCATCTTGCCGTCCGTCAGCCGTCCCCTGTAGAGCCCCAGATTAGCGACAAGTGTTTGAGCGAGAGTGGGGAGGCTCCGCAGCGCTCTGCGGCTACTGTCGCATAGATAAGAGATAAGACGCTTTTCTGTGAGGCGTCAGCATTTATTGACGCCTTTTGCTTGTTTATCGTCTCGCCCCCCGCCCCCTCCCTACTTTTGCAATTTTACTCCCCGGGTCGAGAAAGAAAAGTCGGAAGTTAGGGGAAAGGTGAAGGCGCCCCGTGCTGAGGCGTGCGGCTTGTTTGCGCAGGATGAAGGCAGCCGTCTTGCTGCTCGTGGGGCTGGCGGGCCTCGCCGCCGCCGTCAACCACCACCCCCTGTCCGATGAGGCCATCGCCCACATCAACAGCCTGAAGCCCAAGTGGACGGTAAGTCCTCCGCGCCGCCGACGGGCAGACGGGCCGTCGGGGCTGTAGAAGCCGTCAGAACCCAGTAGAACCTCACGGAAGCGGGTAGAACCCGGCAAAACCTGCATGATGCTCTTCTGGACCGCAGGCCGGGCGCAACTTCGCCCCCGACGTGAGCATGGACTACATCAAGGGCCTGCTCGGCGTGCACCCCGACTCCAAGAACTTCCGCCTCCCCGAGCTGGAGCAGCCCGAGGGCCTCGTCGGCGCCGACGCCTCCGACCTGCCCGAGAGCTTCGACGCCCGTGAGCAGTGGCCCAACTGCCCCACCATCGGGGAGGTCCGGGACCAGGGCTCCTGTGGCTCCTGCTGGGTCAGTATCCACCTGTCTTTGTCACACTAGAGGCACTCCGAAAGGGTGCGAGAGAGACCTCCTTCTTCCTGAGGCACTACTAATGAGACGCGCTCTGGCTGCAGGCGTTCGCCGCCGTGGAGGCCATGTCCGACCGTGTCTGCATCGCCTCCAAGGGCAAGACCAACGTGCACTTCTCCGCCGAGGACCTCGTGTCCTGCTGCCACATCTGCGGCTTCGGCTGCAACGGCGGCTTCCCCGGCATGGCCTGGAAGTACTGGGTGCACTGGGGCATCGTCTCCGGAGGCAACTACAACGACAACCAGGGCTGCATCGACTACAAGATCGCCCCCTGCGAGCACCACGTCTCCGGCAGCAGGCCCGAGTGCAAGGAGGGCGGCGGCACCCCCAAGTGCGAGCAGAAGTGCCGCGCGGGCTACGGCATCCCCTACAAGAAGGACCGCAAGTACGGCAAGAAGGCCTACTCCATCAGCTCCAAGCCCGAGGCCATCATGAGGGAGATCATGACCAACGGACCCGTCGAGATCGCCATGACCGTCTACTCGGACATGCTCAACTACAAGGACGGTAAGGCAGCGACGCCGTTTTGTCGGTTTGTTTCTCGTTAGAATGACGGCGGACTAACCCCCTATTCCCTGCCCCTCCAGGCGTGTACCACCACGTGACCGGCGAGGCCCTGGGCGGCCACGCCGTGCGCATGCTGGGCTGGGGCGTCGAGAACGGCACGCCCTACTGGCTGCTGGCCAACTCCTGGAACACCGACTGGGGCAACAACGGCTTCTTCAAGATCCAGCGCGGCAACGACGAGTGCGGCGTCGAGAGCTCGGTGGTCGCCGGCCTGCCCAAGGTGTAGGGCAGTGCGGTCGCAGCGTCGCAGCCCGGGCGGCAGCCCCTCGGGCAGCCCCTCGGGCAGCCCCTCGGGCAGCCCCTCCACGAGGGACTCCCGCCCACACTCAATTTAGGGGGACCGCTTCCCGGGCGACGTGCATCGCCCGGGAAGCGCACGCCGCCAGTTCCTGAAATATTGTCATCGAAATTAAAGTCTCAAAAATGTCGCAGTTGTGTTGTTGTTGGTGTTATTATTATTATTTTTGGTCTGCCTCCGCCATGTGTTTCCACTTCGAGTCACCCGACCGAGTACTGCACCAGAACGACGAGATAGGTGGTCGCTGTCACCAGAAGCTGAAAAACAAAAACAATAAAGCTTGGTTTTCTGATCTTAAAAGTTGGGGGGGGGGGGGTGACAGATGTGATGGAGGAAGGCTGAAGCGTCGGCTTACCGCTCCAAGAACATTTCTGTTTATGGGCAGAAAACCGAAGAGACTGATTCGCACCGGATTCGCGATGAGAATGTCGCGGAATATGATGAGCTGGAAGAAACAAAAACACCCTTACCGTGTCAATAAGTCAAGTAAAGAAGTAACTTTTTCTGCGCCTGGGTTTACCTCGCGCAGCGTCTCTGCCGGAAAACGGTGGAACGAGGATCCTGCGAGAGTCAGCGCGGCCCTTGTGCCGAGCTGGAGCGGAAACGGTCAGAGTGATTCCCAATCGCAGATTTGCCATTGACTCGAGCTTCAAGCGAAACGGCGCCTCGCTCACTCACCGCCTCGTTGATGCGGTGCGCCGCGTTGAAGATCCTGATGTAGGTGGCCAGGGTGAGCAAGCCGACGGCCGACAGGTAGGCGCCCAGCTTGCTGAACCCGTTGAACACCACGTACATGGTGTTGAAGGTGCACAGCACCACGGTCAGGGTCAGGGTGGTGATGTTGAGGAAGCAGGTGAGCTCGACGGAGCGCGCGCCCGCGTGCGCCAGGTCGCGCAGCCGCAGCCACGTGGTCACGAAGCGCGTCACGTCCTTCCGCGTCAGCGCGTCCCTCTGCAGCGCCTGCGAAACGAAAGGGCCGGAAAGGGCCATGCCAAAAGCAAGGACTTGCGAGCCCGGCAAGGCCGGCAAGGCGGACGGGACGCGGCGCAATGCGGCGCCGAGCGCCGCGAGGGTAGGCCATGGAGCGCACTGCGTGCAGGCGTGCGTTGCGGGCCGGCCCGCCCGCCAGGCGATTACCATTACCATTAAGGGCCAGACCACACATTGCCCGGCCGGCGTAGAGGACGGCGCGGCCCGAGAGTGCCGGCTGCGGGACGAACCTCGGCGAGCGCGTCGACGAGCATCTCGCTGGCGTGCAGCAGGAAGGCGCAGTGCATCCGCCAGTTGGTGGACGCGAAGGCCAGCACGGTGGTGGCGTAGCTGAGGTAGATGACCTCCGGCAGGGACAGGTGGCTGTCGTCGCCCGAGATGGTGATGGGCACGGTGACGAAGAGCGGCCAGCCCAGGCTGAGCGCCAGCACCGTGGCCTTCACGCTGCGCCGCAGCTTGTCGTTGCGCATGCTCCGGCCGCACACGCGCTGCAGCTGGGGCTGCAACCACGCAAGCCAATGCAAGCGCGAGGGGAGGCGTCGCAGAAGCGGAGGTAACGCTGCCATTGCTCGTCACTCCAGAGGTGCTCCGTCTTGAATGCCAACATGCGCCAAATTGTGGCATTCTCAGAGGGCGATCTGAGCGCAGTAGGCCAAATTCTGGCATTCGAAACAGAGCGCCACTGGGGCGGCGAGAAAACTTACCAGCGTTGAAGTGAAAAGTTGTATTCAGATTGGCGTTCGGAAAGCAAACCGCAAGGCCCACCTGGAACTCCTGCCACCGCATGGCGTACTCGGCGTTGCGCCGCGTCTCCACGATGAAGCAGGCCAGCACGGGGAACGAGAGCACGTAGAGGCCGAACTGGATGTTGAGCAGGCGCCGCGGCACGTCGTTGGAGGGGATCTCGAAGTTGAAGTCGATGTGGCCGACCAGCGTGACCCAGGTCCCCCAGGTCGTCAGGCAGAACATGGCGGCCGTGGCCACGCTGCGCACGGAGCAGTGGTTGCGCACCAGCTGGCCTGCCCGGAAGGCCCGGAGGACTCGTCAGCCACGCGGTGCAAGTGCAAGGCGCCGCTGCAGAAGAAGCACCACGCACCTGACTTGGTGACCTTCTGGGGCCAGGCCGCGTAGAACGTGAGGGCCTTCCACAGCGGCTGGAACACGATGACGTACTCGCAGGGCCGCGCCATGGTGCCGCCGAGGGTGAGGGTCGCGGTGAGGGCGCCTCCGTCGGGCACTCAGTGTCCTTCGCGCCACCCGCGGGCCCCACGCCCAGCGCCCAGCGCCCCGCGCCCCGCGCCCCGCGCCCAGTCTCGCGTGACTCCAAGCGAAGGGGGTAATCGGCATGGTGCGCAATCAAACGGCATCGACCAGCGATAGTGAGTAATGCCAAAGTAAACAGTTTGCAACATTTTTATTTCAACAGAACCAATAAATAAGAGCACCGTTCGCTGACAGCGCAGTTCAAAAGAGAGCTTGCTTTCCGGTCCATACATTTGGCGCACATTTCGGTGCTGCATTTCAGTCTTTGATGGTCCGCGTCGTGAGTCGGTCTCGATGCGGAGGGTTATTCATCGCCGACACGCGACGTGGCCGGGGGTGTGGTCGGCGATGTGGCCGGGGATGTGGCCGGCGTCGACGCCTCTGCCTCCACGGCCTCCGCTGGCCCCGCAGTCCCCGTCGCTCCGGAAGGCCCCGCCGCCCCCGCCGGCCCGCCAGGCCCCGCCGGCCCAGCCGCGCCGGCCGGCCCCGCCACCCCCGACGCGCCCTCGGCGGGGAAGTGCGTGAAACCGTTGCCCTGTTGGTCGCAGAAGCACGAGTCCTTGGTGTTCCTCTTGATCCAGGTGAGGTAGCGGTTGACGCGGGCGTAGACGCCGGGGTACTTGGGGCGCGCGCAGCCCTCGCCCCAGGAGACGACACCTGCAGCAGAGAGGCGTTGCGTTAGTGCGACCGCGGGGACGCCGCGCAACGCGTTGCAACGGGCGCGTGCCTCACTGACTCACCGACTACGTGGTGGAAGGTGCCGTTGACGATGTGGAGCGGGCCGCCACTGTCACCCTGCGGAAAAGAAAACTCGGAGTTTTCAAACAGCAGAGCCAATAACGAGGCGAAAATGACATGGTCGTTGCGTCACCTGGCACGAGTCCTTCTTGCCCTCGGGGTAGCCGGCGCACAGCATGTTGTCGGTGATCCTCTTGGCGCCGTAGTTGGACTTGCGGCAGTCCTTGTTGCTCATGATGGGCACCGCCACCTCGTGCAGCACCTGGTTCGTGCTGCCGCCCGGGGTGCTCACGCCCCAGCCCGTCACGACGCCGTCCCTGCCGGAGAAGGACTTGCCGGCGGGCGGCAGGCAGGCGGGCCGCAGAGTGTCGTCGAAGGCGACCTCCTTGTCCAGGCGCAGCAGCGCGATGTCGTTGTTGAAGGTCACGTCCGAGTAGCCGGGGTGCTTGAGCACGCGGGCGATCTTGCGGTCCACGTGCTTGGCCTCGGAGGTCGTGCCGCGGTCGTGCTCCAGCAGGCGCGCCGACATCTTCTTGCGCTGGAAGCTGGGGGTGCAGGGCGAACAGGGCGTCAGCGAGAGCGTGAGGGTGGCCTTCCCCTCCTACCATCGCCCTCCCTCCACACTCACCCGTCAACGCAGTGCGACGCCGTCATGATGTACTTGGAGCTGATGAGGGTGCCGCCGCAGTAGAAGCGGCCGTCGTACATGAGCAGGGCCATCCACACGTACTGGTTCACCTGCACCGGCTGGCCGCCCACGATGCGCGTGCGCTTGTTCGTCAGGCCGCAGGCTGCAACAACCAGTTCCAGGGTGAGCTGTCCCGCCGGGCAGCAGTGTATCAGGCCGAGGGCGGCCGCGTTAGACAGTAGGACTCACTGCAGGCGGCGCACGCGGTGGGCACCACGGGGTCCAGGTCGGGCTCCTGGGTGGTGGTGCCGCCGCCCGTCAGGCTGAGGATCCACTCGAGGAAGGACTGGCGCTCGTTCTCGGACAACAGGGATGGCATCGTGCCGTTGGCCAGCGACTCCGGGGCCTCGCCCACCGCCTCCGACGAGGCCGTCGCCGTCACGTCCAGAGCCTGCGCAGCACACCATACAGTCAGAGGCTGCGGCACTGGTTGAAGGAGGCGGCACCACTCCGTCGACTCGACTAACCTGGGCAGGCACTCGGCGACCGGGGACCTGCCTGGCGGCGGCCAGCGCGCACAGCAGCAGCAGGCTGCACTGCGTCCACGTCGTCCACATGGCGGCGGTGGTGGATGTTCCGGGTGTTCCGCACTTGCACTAGACACGAGGCACTGGAAACTGTCACGGTGCTGCGGCGGAGGATGGCTTGCAACTGAAGTCCTCCTTCCCCGCCCACCCATTTATACGTCGACACGAAGGTTGGCCCGGGAGGGTTTCGGCTGTTTTGGGCGGCGGCCGTGCCCAGGGCATGCCCAGGCCAGGCCATGCCCAGGGCATGCCGGCCTGGAAGAGGGGGGCGTGGAGACGCCCCCAGGCCCCACCCACTGGTCCATCGGCAGCGGTGACGCGGTGACGCGGTGACGCGGTGACGCGTCGCGTGACCCCAGCGAAGGTAGCAGTGGCCTAGGCCAGCCTGCCGGCCTGGCCCTTATCCACTGGGCCAAGGTCCCAAGGCCCGTGAAGCACCAAGCTCCGGCGGGGCGGCGCTCACCAGCCCGGCGCACGCACGCAGCCTGCCCCGGCCCACGCCCCACATAACAGTTATTGGCAGTTCGGACCTTTAGGACCTGTACACTCAGATAGGCGCGTTTGTTCGCAAGGAGGCCGGCGAGCTGTCACTGCTCGAATCACCAGCCGGGGCCAACAATCTCGCACCTCGTATGGCGGGTGTGGCTGACCATTGGCATTTTACATGCTTAGTGTTCTTCCATTTCAAACTATTGAAAAAACAAAGAATGAACCGCACAACAAAATACAAAAACGAACAGAAACTTTCGCCTACACGGAAATGGATTGGAAGTGTAGAGTTAATGCGGGTGTCTGGGCCCAGCTGCGCCCACCTATCACATGTCTGTGTGTGCGTACGTGTGTGTCTGTGTGCGCGTGTGCGTGGGCGAGCGTCTATTCCTGGCCTCATGTCGCGCCTCCTGCTTTGGCTTAGCCTAGGTTGCGGTTGGAAAATGACCTCCCTTCTGCCGGTTTACTGTACCAAGCACATCGATGCCTCAAAAACTTGCAGAATTCTCAGTCGAACAGGTTTATCGAGATCGCGTATCAAACTGAAACCTCTGTCACTGTGCTTCCGGGAGGACCACTTGACGTGCTGGCCGTACTACCCGTACTGGCCGTGCTACCCGTGCTGGCCGTGCTGCCCGTGCTGCCCGTGCTGGCCGTGCTGGCCGTGCTACTGCCTGGCGTCGCCGATGAGGGCTGAGACGCCTCCATCTTCTTAAGAACGTCGACGACGTCATCAAACACCAGCTCCTTGGCGTTCTTAGCTAGCAGATAGCCGATGTGGTTGAACTTATTGTTGTTGATCTTGCGGACCCCGTCTTTTTGGATGTTGGGCAGCTTCCTGATCAGCTCGTCAATGTTCTGTTCAGACAAAACAGGAAACAGGCACGAAACAATTCATCCGAACAGAAGAAGGCTACTCAGCGGGAAAGACAACTGACCGACTGAACACAGAGCAGGTCGTTCTCCGAGTAGAACATGTAGGTGGGCACGGTGATGCGCGTGAGGTCGTACTCGGGGGCCTTGAAGCTGTGGTACTTCCTGATGTTGCCCATACGGCCGTAGTCGAACATCTTGAACACGAGGTGGCGGTGGTTCACCTGCTGGCCGAAGTGCAGCATCTGCTTCGTGGACGCGCCGGCCGGCATGTTGGCCATGAGGTCGGGCAGAGCAGTCTGGAAACGACCAAGCCATCCGTCAGGGTTGCGGGGAGTCCTTCGGCGGGCCGTGGCGGCCGTGACATGGCTACCTGGTTCATCTGCTCGGTGTCGTGGCCGAAGAACATGAAGATGATGTTGGTGCAGATGGGCTGCGTGATCTCGTTATCGTTGCACATGACCTCCCCGACCAAGGACATGAACTTGTTGTTCGGCAGGAACTCGTTGAGGCCCACGAGCTTGAGAAGGAACTGCGCAAGCACACGGAGCAGTGTGGCGGGCTGGCTAGCAGACAAGAGCCTGGGGTCGGGCCAAGCCGCCAAGCACTCACATACAACGTGTAGGGCGCGGCGGCCATGAGCCTCAGCGGGAGCGACCTGATGTCCCGGAGGTACGCGACGGGGGCCAGGCCCACGAAAGACTTGACCTTGTCCATGTACTCCGTCCTCTCGCTGCCCAGTATGAAGAAGAGCGTGGAGCCTTGGCAGTAGCCGACATAGTGCAGCTGGGACGCACGGAAAGAGAGTTACTGCGGAGGCAGGCCAGGGCCAGGCGGTGGCAGTTTGCCCGAGGCTGCCCGAGGGCGGTCCAAACGTCCAGGGCTGCCCTCACCTGCGGCTGGCCGGTGTTCTTAAGGACGAAGTCGATGGTGGCGGGGAGGTCCCCGAGGGCAATCTCATGCAGGCTGAAGTCCCAGAACTTGGCCTTCCACGGGTGCAGATACTCGTGCCGTCTGGACGGCGTGGTGCCGCGCGCGTTGTACATCCACACGTCGAAGCCGGCGTCGTGCAGCACGAACCCTGCGCGACGCCAGGCCGTGAGGACGCGCACCAAGGCCACCAGGGCCACCATGGCCGCACTCACCTAGCGCCCGGCCCTTGCCGAGGACCAGGAAGTCCGCCGAGGAGGACAGCAAGCCGTGCGCCAGCAGCACCACGGGCTTGCCGGGGTTGGGCAGGCGGAAAAGCCCCAGCAGGTAGCCGTCGGGGGTCCGCACCGTGTAGTTCTCCACGGCGTAGCCGTGCTCGGCGGCCAGGTTCGCCTGAAACGTGCGGTTGAACGTGCTCGGCGTCGGAGGAGCACTGCGTGGCGCGTGGCGCGAGTTGGAAGGAGCCCCTTACCGTGCCGACGATGGGCGGCTTGCCCGGCTTGGGCGTCAGCCAGCCCCAGGTCGTGGCGTTGACGGGTTCTCGGTGGGAGGGGTCCTCCAGGAGGGACTTGGCCATCGTCTCGCCCGCCTCCAGCGCCTTGTACTGCCACCACACGGCCTGCTCGTCCAGCTCGTTGAGCGCCGCCAGGAGCGCGGGCGAGATGGTGGTGGTGGTGCTGCTGGGGCTAGTGGTGGTCGTGGTGGTGGCCGCGCCCAGGGCGGCGGGAGTGACCGCCATCACCACCAGCAGCAGCGCCAGCGGCGGCGGGCTGCTGCCGGAGCACCAGGACGTCATCCTTGACGCCGAGGTGTGGACGGGCCCTCTTGAAGGCGTGGCGGCGCGTGGCAAATGGCCCTCGGTCGCGGCCCTGGCGGCCACGGCGGCCACGACGGCCACGGGGCCCCCACCCCCAGTTTTGTGTTCGCATGGCGCGGCGCGCGCGGTGCCCGGCGATACGGCCTGGCCGGCCAGCAGTGCCTTGTCGCTCTGCCTCCCTCGCACCCACACGGGGCGCCTACTGAGTGCGAGGGAGACAGAGCGACGAGGCACTGTTCGGAATGGGCCGGCACTGCCTGCAGGCGCGGAAAGGCATCGCGGGAAAATGGTGCTCGACCAGAGGCGTGTGGCACGGCGACCCTTTCGGTGCACTTGACGTCGAGTGTCGCGTTGGTGCGCATCGCGCACAGTGCAGTGCCACCTGGGGACGAACGACTGTCGAGTACTTTGTTATTGTGTTCCGCAGATCAGTGCTCCGAGCTCGCTCAAGCATCATCGACCGAAAGGGAAAGATTTGGCCAGTTTCTCGCAGCACTCCCACAATAAAGGAATACCGTCTTTGTACTATAGTGAAAGGCATATTTTAATAATTAAATAAACTTTATAATAATATCACATTTATCAACTCTGAACTCATCACACATAGAAATATACATACACTCACACACTCACTCTTTCTCACACACACTCACACAGACGCATACAGTACAGGGAGTTTTGGGGAGGGAATCATTTTGTTTCGACGCTGATTTCTGGAGATGGCGCTACGGCCAGTGTAGCGGCAGTCCAGCCAGCATCATCCGCAAAGCGCGAATGTCACAGCGTTGCAAATCAGCGAGGTGCCCGATGACGCCGATGACGGCCAGGCGGTCTACTGCTCCTGGAACACCTCCGCGATGCTCTGCATCACCTGGTCGTACAGCAGGGGGCGGGAGTCGCGCGCGTACAGGAAGTCCATGTGGTTGTAGGTGGGGTGGGGCACGCGGCGGATCATCTTGACGTTGGTCAGGCCCTTCCTCAGCTTATCGACGCCCTGCCGACCGCAAAGGAGAGAGCGTGAGATGAGATGCGGCTCTTTGTTGCGCCTTATCTGTTGCGCCAAAACGCCGCGGAGGCAATGCGAGGCGAGGGCGAGGCGCCACTCGAGATTGCTAGATTCCGCGCGTCACGCCGTAACGTTTTTTGTTTTGTGTTTTTTGTGTGTTTTTTTTTTTTTTTTTTTTTTTGCATACCGTGGGAGTGCCCAGGAGATCGTTGTCGGCGAAGTGGAGGAACACCTTGGTGGTGATCTTGTCCAGGGGGTAGTTCGGCGGGGAGAAGCTCTTGTAGGTGATGAGGTTGTTGAACGTGCCGTGGTCGTACTGGCGGAACTTGTCACCTGAGAGGGGGAGGTTGGTTGGGTCAGTGGCGGTGGTCACTGGTTGTTACTACAGAGTCGAACGGAAGGGTCACTCACTGTTGATGAGCTGGGCGTAGTGAAGCAGCTGCTTGGTGGAGGCGCCGGCGGGGACGTTCTTCATGATCTCCGGCAGCATCTCCTGCGGAAAGGGAAGAGTGTCAAATCGCGGTACCGATTCTCGCGACGCGGCGATGGCGGCGTCGGTTCAGGGACTGACCGTGTCGAGCTCCTCCGAGTCGTAGCCGGTGATGACGAAGAGGGCGTTGGTGCAGATCGCCTGCAGCATGGAGCCGTCGGCGCACGCCCTGGACGTGATGGCGGACATGAAGGCGGAGCTGGGCATGAACTCGTACATCCCCACGACGTTGGCGATGAACTGCAACCAACACGAGCGTCAGGCACGCGCCGGAAAACCAGGTTTTCGACAGGGTTTGGGGGTTTCCCGTTCTCACCTCGACTTCGTCCACACCCTTGGCGAGGAGCTTGAGCGGGAGGGAGCCGACCTTGCCCAGGAAGGCGATGGGGGCCATGGCGATGAAGGCCTTGACCTTGGCGTTGTACTCAGGGCGCATGGACGCCATGACCAGGAAGGCGGTGGTGCCCTGGGAGTGGCCCACGTACACCAGCGAGTCGTGCTGGGTGGAGTCCAGGATGAAGTCGATCATGGCCGGGATGTCGTTCATGCCGATCTCGTGCCACCTGCGCCAAAGGACAAAGGGTTGGACGGTGTTGGGGGTGGCTTGACACCTCGAAGGCGCCTCGTCCTCAAAGATAGCTCGCTGTTTTCCCTCGGCCACCTCGGCCACTCGAACCGCTTGCTGCGCCGTAAGTTGTTCGAGGCAACTTATTTCCGACTTGTCGTTATCTGCCATTGTTCGCAGTGCGCGGATTGTATTTGGTTGCCGCTGCCTGGCGAAGCCTGCCGCTGCCACTCGAAGGAGCGCCCCAAATCACGGGCCAGCACTTTCGAGCTGAGGCAGGATCAGCGGACAGGAATGTGCGGACAAGCGCATTGGCGATATGAGGTTCGATTGGCCGCGGCGGCAGGTTGGGGGCACTACTCACGAGAAGTCCCAGAAGGCCTTGTCCTTGGTGGAGAGCGTGGAGTGAGCCCTGGAGTAGGTGTTGCCTCGGAAGTTGCCCATCCAGACGTCGTAGCCAGCGTTGTACAAAATGAACGCTGTAAGGGAAATGCCGTTATTTTCTGGACGAATTAAGCACAGGACACTTAGTTCGCAGAGAGAACTTCCCTCAAAGTAGAACGCCCCCCCCCCCCATTTCTGCTGCAGCGCACTGTAAGTAATCTGAACGCGACGACAACCACTGAGAGGTGAAGCTATTTCCATCGCGTGGGGCGGTCGTCAAACTCCGTATAGTATCGAAAACGCGGACTAGCCTTTGGAAGTCCCCAACCATGCTACGCGATTACTGACCACAAGCAATTTGGGTGGTATACTGACAGGCGGCGCGAACAAACGTGTGACGAGCAGCGGGCTTTACGAGACGCCCCGCGACGGTACGCACCGAGAGACTTCTCCGGGCCGAGCACCACCCAGTCGGCGGACGAGGACAGGATGCCGTGCTGCAGGTAGATGACGGGCTTGCCGGGGTTGGGGATGCGGTGCATGGTCAGCAGGTAGCCGTCGGCCGTCGTGATGGTGTGCGTCTCGGACTGGTAGCCGTACTTGGCGATCAGCATGGGCTGCACAGGGAAGGCCGGCGTGAAACGCCTGTGGTTTGCTGCTTACTCTCGCAAATGGTTGGCGCCTGCTTACCGTGGAGGAGTCGATGGGGACGTCCCTGAGCGTGGAGACGCCGATGCTCTTGGGGGCGGCGAGGTGGTGCCACCAGGGCTGGTCCCGGGGGCTGGTGGGGCTGGCGGCCACCCCGGCCAGGAGGGCGGCCAGCGCGAGGACGGCGATCCTCAGAGACGTGGACATGGTGAGTGTCAGTGGCGACCTGTGCGGCCGGGTCGCACAGGTAGTTCTTTTATCTCGTCCATGAACCGCGGACCCCTCGCCCCTCCCCGCCCAGCTCTTCCCAGAGCCCCACCTGTGACCCGCGGGCCCTTATCGCCTTCGAGTGGACGCCGTAGAGCCATGGCCGCCATGGCGACGAGTTGACGTGGACAAGAGCAACATCAAGGCCTCGGCCCGCTGCCGCTCGGCCGCTCCTCGCAAAAACGGGATGCACTCCAAAGCGACAAACTCCACTGCGCTTCGCTCTTCGGCTCGCGTCACTATTTTGGCTCAATTGACAATCTTTCTTTTTTTTGCCGAGGTGATAGCAGCCGAACAAACAACAGGGAAACGATTGCGAAGATGGATGCACAACCTAGGGCGAGAGGTCAAGTGGGGCCGGAATATAGGGAGAACACCCAACCCAACCTCCAACCCCGGCGTCCTGGCGGCCAGGCCTCGGGTCAGCCCTGGTCAGGCCCTGGCCCGCAGCATCCCAGCGCCTCGAAGCGCGAGGCCGCGAGGCAGAGAGTGCTGCACCTGCCCCAGTCTCTAGCTCAATCCCCAGAGTGCGTCTCTCCCTTCCATATTTCCATTGACAAAATGTCACGTTCCTTTGAGCATTGTGTCACTCGTTTCAGCGTGAATAAGCTAATTTATGGCTGATTCGCGTCCAAAAGAACGTGACACAATGCTCAAACGGACGTGAAATGTTGTCACATTTTTTTCAACGTGATGTCCCATTCCTGGGATGAGAGTGTTTTGTTTGGAAAGGAGATCCATCTTTTCGCCTGTTTGACCACGGGCGTGTCACGGCTCCACCTTCGGGACGGGTCTAGACCTTTCCCCCGGTCCTCAAGCGCTTGCATATCTGTGTACGTACACCACTACTACGCAACACGCCCTCGCGATCGGTCGCGAAATTGCGTATCAATTTGTATCGAAGAAGGGCATTTTTGAAGACAGTCTAAACATTCATAAATGTTCAACAAGCCCAGATCGTGAACACTCGGCAGCGGCAGACGTACAAGTCATGATAGCGTAGTGGCCAAGTTCACATTAGCCGGGGTACCTAAAAAGCAATCCGCTTCGGCGGGTCGGCCTCGGCACTGGGGCGACGGGGGTACGAAACCGGCCTGTCGTTCCAGCCACCCGTAATTGGTCGCGGGTGGGTCCCCCTTGATTCGTCGAGGGGGAGATGATAACGATGTACTCCGGACTCGGACAACCGAACTCGATGTCACGAGTCCACGCCGCTACGCTCTCGCCTACCATGGACTATAGAGTGCGGCTGGTCAAGAAGGGTACTTGAAGACATTTGTTCCTAATCACAGAGGGCACGTCACTGCCAAGCGGTAAGGGGCGAACGTTACCTGCACGGCCGATAAGTAACAGGCAAGTTCTATCAAAGACTTCTCTCGCAAAGGAGTGAAGGTTCAGGCGGTCTCTGTCGGTCCGTGCCTCCCCGCGGTCCAGCGGGCCGGCGCCTACAGGTAGGCAGCCCATTCGACTTGGCGGCCGTGGAGGCAGCGGCAACGGGGCGTCATGCCGTGTCTGGGACTCTTACCGGCACCGGCGGCGTCTGTCGGCAGAGGACCTCATCACTGTCTTCCATCCACTGTGTGGAGAAGGACGCCAATACGGAGAGGACCTCCCCCGGCCTCGCCACAGCACTGCTGAGTTACTGTATGAGTGGTGGCGGTTAAGAAGGGGTTGTGGGCGTTCCGTCGTGATGCCCTGACTCGAGTGTAGGCGGTGGTGTGGGACTGATCCGATGCGGCACGTGTTGAACCAGCAGGCATGACGGGGCCCCTGTGGCTGATATGGCCCACGACGCACCGAGGCCCGAAGCCATTCACCTGCATCTCGCTGCTCCAGCCAATGGCTCCAGCGCTCCACGGTCTCCGCCGTTTTTCTCCCCCAATCGGCCTCAAGGTTGGGGAGAGTGCGAGAGTGAGAGAGCGCGAGGAGAGGGGCGTACCGCGGTACCGCCACCGCCACCAGCAGCGCCGACACCGCCAGAGTGCTCCGGCTGCCCTGGTTCGGCCGCACGCCGCGGAGCCGCGGAGGGCGCTCGCATCGCCACCGGTGTGTCTGTCTGGCCCGCCTGGCCCGCCTGGCCCGACTGGCGCGGAGCAGCGCGGAGTTGGCGGCGCTCCACGCTCAGTTCAACGCGCGACTCGAACCATCACCGTGTCGGTCGCCGGGGGGGCGTAGAGCGTAGGGGCGGCAGCACCAACCGCGATCACGGAGTCCTCGGGACATCGCCCCGCTCGCGACTTGAGCCCCAGCCCCACGTCGGCGGGATGCCTTCCAGTGCAGTAAAGTGTCTCACCGATTAATCGTGTGCTCCTGTTTGTGCGTGTTCGCGCGCGCGCGTGAGAGAGTGAGTGAGTGACAGTGCCATCGATCTTGTCAAAAGGGATTGCCAAGGATTCGTTCTCCTCAAGGTACGTTTTGATGCTCCCGCTTCTCGCGGCGAGGGCGGCTTAATCTCGCTTAATCCACGCAAACCCAGTTAACGGCAGTGCAGTTCGCGCGAAGCGGTCCTCCGACCGTCAGCCACCGAGCGGCTCCCACTTTCATTCGGCCTTCGATGACCTTTGCACCTCCGCGACGAGGGCCGTCCGAATTAATGCCTGCCGTGCCTCCACCGTCACCGCCACCGCCGGCACCGCGCGGCATCGGCACGCGCGAGATCGCGGCTCCGCGTCGAGGAAAACCAACTTGGCGCCGCCGCGCGATTTTCCGTTCTCCAGTTATCCGGTTTTCCAGCCTGCTGCGGCGAAAACTCCCGACGGACTCTGCAGTGAAAAATGAAATGTCCGCGGTGGAGGGCGTGGCCACGCCGTGGCGCCGAGTGGCAGGCATTAAACGGCCCCGGTGCACCAGCACGTTCGTTCGCGGCTTCGCCGGGCTTCGCGGGTTGGGTTCACGACTACAGCTGGGCCGAGCCGAGCCAGCCAAGGCAACCAAGGCTACCCGCGCAGGGCATTGCGTTGTCTGACCGCCACCCGGCCGGCCGAGTGGGCAGGCCGCCAGGCTAGCCCCGCCGGGGCGTGGTCGCCGCTGCAGTCGCGCTTTAAAAAGTCGCCCGGGTGAGGTGCCGGAGGAATGTACTCGACTTGCTGGTCAAGACCGTCGAGGCACTGGCCGGCGGTCGTCGGCGATGCGCGAGGCCGCGGGGCGGTGGCGCGGGGTTGACGCGCACTGGCGCGCAATCCGAGCCTTCGGAGGGCGTGGCGGCGGCGCACAAAAGGCGACGGTCCGGACGCAGGGCGTGCTGGGCGTGCAGGGTGCAGCCGGCGACACACCGCGGCAGCTGCGTCGCCGTGCGTCGCGCACCCTCCTCCCTGTCGTCACCCTCGTATCGGCAATGGCACCCTCCCCTCGGGCCCTCGGCGTTGTTGGCGTTCGGGGGGCCGTTGCCGTTTGCGTCTCCTGCGCGCAACCCGAGGGCGGGGAGAGAAGGGACAGCCCCGGCTGCCCTCGGCCTGCGCGCAGCCGGCAGCTCGTCACGACGCCAGACAGTCCGTGAGCAGTCTCTCCTTGGGGCTGCAGGCTGCAGAGATGTAAGATCCGTCGCTCCGCTGCTCGGCGTGCGCTCGAGGTTGCAGCGACGGGTCCACGGCAAGCCTTAGCGGCCTCAGCCGCCTCAGCCATCGGGCAGCGGGGCGACACGCCGCCGGACGAGTCTTAACAGCTGGTTCCCCCAATTAAGTTAGGATACACCTCTTTGTTTGTGGGCAGCCCAGCAGGCCAGCAATGCTGCTGCAGCTGGGATTGCATTCTCCATTCTCCACTTTCTTGTGTTTTCTTGTGGGAGCCGCGCGTGGCCGCGGCCGCGCGGTCTCACACCGCCTCGGCCTCCATCGGCCACACCGCGGTGACCGGCATTTTGGCGCGAGAAACAGCGAAACGGCGAAACGGCATTGGGGACGCCAGGCGGCCTGGCGGCTCGGCCACACGCTGGCGGTCATGCTCGGCGCGCTAATCACAGCATATCGGCCCGCGGCCCGCGAATTGCTCCAGCAGGTGTGCCAATCCCTCTGGCGACTTCGCAGTGCTTCCCGGCGGGCAGACTCCCCGCCGACCAAGCCGCCGACGGTTGGCACTCCTGGGTTCTACAGCTCCTCGGGTGCGTTTTGCGATAAAGCGTTGCAGAAACGGAGAAAACTGGAGCCGCTGCAGATGCGGCCCGCGGCACGGAGAGGGGGCCGAAGGGTCACTGCCGCCAGACTGCCGCGTGCTCGGCGTGCTCGGCGTGCTCCGCATGCTTCGCGGGCCAGCCACCCTGCCCCGTCCACGCCCCGTCCACGCCTCGTCCGGGCGGCGGGGCGGGCGGCGTCTGGCCTGGCATAAACTTCACCTTGACCCAGTGGGTTAGTTCGGCGCAGCATACCCGGTCCCGAAGCGGAGCGGGGCGCCGGGCGTGGTGCTTGGAGGGGGGCTGTACCGGCTGGGTGGGTATTACAACCTGTTACACGCACGCGTCGCCGCCCCGCCCCGCCCCGCCGCCCCCACTCCGCTCGCGGAGTGGTATCAATCGCAACGTTTTCGAAACTCGATCCCGGGCTGCAGCAGCTGCGCGTTTCTTTTTCTCGACTCGTCTTCTTTTTGGTGCGCTGTCTCCGCGCCCGCCGCGCCCCTGCAGCCTGCAGCTGGCTGATGGACCGCAGCCCCGTGCACCCCGTGCACCCCGTGCACCCCGCCCCCGTTCACGTTGCGGCGCTACCAGCTTCGGGCTCTGGGCGCGAGCTAGGGCGCGAGGGAAGGACCAGGCTGGGCCACGCCGACGGTCGCGGCGGGCAGGCTGCCGTTGCAGCCGCCGCTCTTGATGACGCCGCCGCGGTGTTACCTCAGCGACCACCACTGCGGTGCTGGCGGTGCTGGCGGTGCTGGCGGCCGGGTGAAGGCCAACGCCCGCAGCGCCCAGCCTGGCTCTGCCTGGCCCGGCAGCCCCGCACGGCAGACACTCCACAGACCCGGCCGCCTTGTAACGACCCTTTGT